CAACATTGGATAAGGGGTTCCAGAGATATCACTGTGGAAAACACACCGGTCAATTTTGACCGAAAATAGCATGGGAAGGGGGGTATGACCTAACGCAAGAGAAGGGTTAAGCGCACTCTTAAAAACGGATAGGGTGTCTGCCGCCCGAACACAAACTGGAAGCTGATTCCACAAAAGTGGAGCTTGATAAGAAAAGGCTCTGGCTCCCATTGTATTTTTAAAACCTCTCGGAATAACCAACAACCCTGCATTCTTGGAACGCAACGCCCTAGTAGGAGAGTAGGGTATAATGAGTTCTTTAAGGTAAGATGGCGCCTGCCCATTAAGGGCTTTGTAGGCGAGAAGAATAATTTTAAATTCTATCCTGTGTTCTATAGGGAGCCAGTGTAAGGCAGCCAGAACAGGAGTAATGTGGTCCCTAACTCTGGTTAGTACACGTGCTGCAGCATTTTGAATCAGCTGAAGCGACTTAACTGACTTCTTGGTACACCCTGATAATAAAGAGTTACAATAATCCAGCCTTGAAGTAACAAATGCATGGACTAGTTTCTCTGCATCGTTTTGAGGCAAGATATGCCTGATTTTTGCTATGTTACGTAGATGAAAAAAGGTGGTCCTTGAGATTGATTTGATGTAAATCCTGATCAAATATAACATCAAGATTCCTTACAGTCTCACTGGAGGCCAAATTAATGCCATCCATAGTTAATATATCTTTAGATAGTTTGTTTCGTAGAGTCTTTGGGCCGAGTACAATAACTTCAATTTTGGCCGTGTTTAACATCAAAACGTTTTAGGTCATTCACGTTTTTAAGTCCTTGAATTTTATTTAGATGATTGGTTTCATCAGGCTTGATGGATAACTATAGTTGAGTATCATCCGCATAACAATAAAAATGTACAGAATGATTCCTGATAATATTGTTCAAGGTTTATTGCTGAAAAGCATTCTAATTTACTATCTAGTGTAATATTAGAACTTACATTTCCGGGAGCTGTTGATAACACTATACTGGTCAAAGGCAAGAGGTCATTAATTTTGTTTCTAAGAGTAAAAATGTTATCATTAGAAAAGCACATAAAATCAACAAATGTGGCAAACTAGTGTGATATGTTTTGTTAATCTCCTCTGATTGGCTGAAGAAAACAAGGTTGGAACATTCTTGCTGTCTAAAAACGATGATATGTTATATATTTCAATCAAGGGTTTTTACTGTTCTTCTTTTGTGAAAGGAAACAAATGTAATTTCACTTCTGCTGTCCAAAATGTCAAAGGACGTTTCTCAAGCCGGTAATGAATAGTTAAATGCAGATGGTAACCAAATTCAACAACATTTTAAATGTTTTATTGTAATACAGCTTTGGCAGGAGCTTTGAAGTTACATTATATAAAAGGATATTAACTATGGGTCATGATTTCACAGAGAAAGTGCAGATGGAAGAAATGCATGAGCGGGACATCTTATGTTGCCATGGTTAACCACCTCGAGAAATGTACATCAAAAACTTGAATCGTGACAGACTTGCTCAGCCTTCCTATATTTCCAAGTTGCTGTTTCATGGCAGTGTAGGCGTTTTTCCTTTATGCCTGAAAGCCCCTGCCTGGGTGGTCATGGGATATCTTTAATGCCTTTTCCGGTGCAGGAACACAACCAGCGAGAATTTCTCTGAAGTCGTCAGACTTTGATGATGTACACTTATTATACATTGTGCCCACTTATCCTCCCCCAACTCTCTATCATATTTTTCTTGCCTCTGCCTTTCTTTCAATCTTCTGTGTGTTTGCCTGCCTTTCATAGACTGTCACTCAATCTTTGTCTGAATCCCTATCACTCCAGAAATCTCTCTCTCTCTCTGTCACACACTCTCCCCCACATGATTAAACTTTTCTTGGCCAAGCCTGTGTGTTGGCTTGTGTGAGTTGGCACGTCAGTTTGTGTGACGTTCACCCTCACACATGTTTTTGTTTGAAAAAGAATGAACACACTGACGTCAGAGGGCCCAGAAAGAAAACAAATAATCTGAGAGAGACTTGCAGGAGGAGCAAATGGATATTCACGAAGTGTTTATGAATGTAATTGTATTTTGCATGGAAACACGAGCTTCCGGAGCAGCGAGCCTCAGCTCGTTATAACTCAACAAACGCAAGCGGAAGGAAAAACCGTAAACAGAGAGATTATGAGATCTTCTGTATATCTGAATAAATCATAGAAACACTGTTTATACTCCAAAAAGAGAGTGAGACTTTGCCATGAGTTCCCTACTGAGTCATAATGAGCCTGTTGTTTGGTTGGTGTTTGTGTGTCACTGGATTAAATGTTACAAAAGGGCATCAGTGGGCAACCCGAAAAAACATTCAGTTCTGGAGGAAGTACCCTGAACCCAAGAATAAAACTTTGATTACAACTATTTAAAAATACTCCCCTTAGAGTAAAAGCCCTGCACAAAAAGTACTACTTGTGTACTAACACAGAAGCATTACAGGCAAAATTATACATACTAAAAACACATTATTACATTATTTATACCTGTGTGTCAGGGTTCCTCCAAGGAATCACACCGTAGATCTGAATAGCCCTGAAATTATTCATGAGAGGAAAGTAAATAAAAAACGAATTGTGCAAAGGGACAGCACACGGTTATCAAATAAACATTAAGGCCTGTTATATAAACAGTTTTCTTAAACGTAGGGAAATTAACTGTAAAGCAAAATCTGACTGTAATGTGTGTCAGTGTGACTTAACAGTTGTTAATTTAACTTAATAGAATACAATAATTGAACTTTTTTGACCAGTGAACTTAACTCAGTTGTTTTTTTATATTAAAACAACTCATTTGAGTCCATCAACCAAAATATAAGACACTGGAGCCGAGAGCAGCAAGATATGGGGGAAAAAGACCAGGGTTTATGAATTAAATATATATCTTCTCTTGTTGCTGCATGCATGCATGAGTGTTTGTGAATGTGTGCATTTGATCACATTACGTAGTGTGGAGGCAACCAGTTGCTCTGTTCATCTGGTGTTTGTTGAGTCAGTGAGAAGTAAAAGAGGAAAGCAGGGTGAAGACAGGGCACATCTGTCAGACAGTCTGTCTTCTCTTCTGAAGCTTTACGCACATGGCTAATAATACACTCCAACAGACTGCAAAAACAGATTGGGATCCAAATACACTGTAGAGATTAGATGTGTCTTTGTGTCTGGTCTGTTTCAGAGAGTGTTATGCTAAGTGAAAGATGTATTAAAAATCAAAAACAGCAATAGTCAAATGTACCGCATGGCCAAGATAAAGTGTGGGTCTGAGTTTGTTGTGAACAAAAGAACATCTTTGTGCACTTGTGAGTCATCATACTGCCTCGCACTGGGGGGTAGTATAGCCATTATCTGTTGGCACCATAGGTTGGCACAGACGCAGTGTGTGACGTCCTTTAGACAATTTGCTTTATGCCCAAAAATGTGACTGGCGTGTCACTTGGAAAGGCACATGGATCCAGTATTGCTAATCCGGTAACACCATATTTGCTTAACTACTCAACACATTCGTCTGTCGCTCTACAGGGTTTACTCTCACATTCTCCTTATTTGTTTTGGATGCTGTCTTTTTGCCTCTCGCTAATTTACATCTGATAATTATGCAAACAATGGAACATGGAGCACAGCTCTTGGGACCAGCATTAATCTGCCCAACTGTTTGCAGAGGACATCTTGGCTGAGTGGAATGACGCAAATATAAGGCCGAAAAAGTCAGACTGAGTCAGAGGTCCCCACAGACCATTTTTGTGTCAAAAGGGGTTTCTTTACTATATGAACTTTATAAACCTTTTTATTTTTTACAATATATGCAACCTTTGATTCTATTGTCAAATCTATTTTGATGATTGGAAACAAAAGGAACAGCAGGAACAAGTCCACTAGTGGCCTTTATCTTAAACTGAGGAGTTAAACCCTGTAACATCATCCCACACCTCCACCTGTGGATGAAGCATCAACCCATTGTGTTGTCATCTTGTTGGAACAGAAACTGGGATGATTTTCCATGAAAAACACTTCAGAGGCTTGCAAGATTATAAAGCTTATCTGGCTCCATATGCTGTAGTGGATACGAATGATCTGGTGAAGAACTGAGAAGACATTTTTCTCAGACTTCGAAGCTTAAAATGTGGCATTCATATAGGCTAAAAGTAAAACTGCTTTTGCTTAGTGTAGATTTATTGTTGGACAAAAACAAGGTAAACTGACAAACACTTTCAGTGGGGTCCTTGTTCCAAAGTCAGCAGGTAAACTCGCTTCAGTGTGGCGGGAGTATTGGGATGGTAATGAAACTGGAATACATCTAAATAATAGGCTACTGTATACAAAAACATGTTGGTGCTGATGGAGATGTGGAAATTAAGGAAATACAATTATTATAAAATAAGAGGTAAAACAGGTCTCAATTAAACAATATATGATATCAGACTCTATGGTCATATTTCCCCAATGTCTGGTTAAACACCAGCAATGTATGTGCTTTGGATGTCATGTTTTACCTTTACACTTAAGACAGTAACAGTTGGACTGTGTCAGTGTGTTACTGACAAAGTACAAACAAAGATTGTTCAGACTTACATTTGCCAACATATTTCTTATTGAGATTTTAGCTGCTAAACGTCACACACATATGTGTAGTCAAAGATAGAAGTTGTGTCTCTATTTTCGTACAACTTCTATGATATAACATATCTCCCAAATGGAAACTGTGCACACTGTATCGATCCGGAAACAGTATACTTAATTTTAGAAAATGCAATATCAGCATCAATCACCTCTTTACTCCAAGAGGGAGTAAAAAAACATGAATTTAACTGTCATTTCTTTTAAGGAAAGAAATCAGGCAAAATACTTTAAAAAAAGGTTTTAGAAAGGAATTGAATCAGCTAAAAATAATCCACCCAAAAAAACAACTCGATGCAAACTCCAGACCAGTTGCTGGTAGTAATGTATCTTCAAACTGTTTTGCAACCCGCCAACCCATTAAAGAAGAAGAGTGAACATCCGGCTCACATGCGCGCGAAATTGTTGTAACACCAATGGCGTCGAAAGCAGGTGAGTGAGTGTAATGAAAGTGAAGAAATACTACTTTGTAATTAGGCAACATGACCAGGGTGTGGCGTATGTTGTTTAAAGTTGATAATCAGTTTCAACTTTTAACGGTTAACATGCTTTGCCAATAGTTTTAGGCTGTTGTAAGGCTTACAGTGGAGCACAACATCCAATCTGGGGGATTTAATGATTAAAGAACAACCACAAATAAGACCGTTTCTTATTTTAGTCACACACGTGTTTAATAGCTCAACGCTTTGACTCGCTCCCATAACAAACCATTGCATTATTTCCTTAATTTAAAGCGTAATTCGTGTAATCAAAACAAACATTACATGTGTGTTTTTAGGTCGCAGAGGGACGAAGCGAAAAGCGGACGTCCAGGCGGAGGAGGAGCCGCCCTCCATGGAGGAGAAGGACCGAGGAGAGGGGGAGGACCCGGGCCGGAGGGTGGTCATTGAACACTGGTGAGTCGCATTATGAGTGGATAAACCCTTAGTGGTGGAAGTACCTCGATACTATCAGGTTTAAATACTGTACATAAGTATAACATGATGCCCGTTTTGCTGCCTGTAGTTTTTGAAGATGATACTGTAGTTCCATTTTCAGTGGTGTCAACTAACTACATGTTTGAGGTAATTGTACTTTACTTAAGAATTTCAATGTAATGCTACTTTGTATTTCTACTCCACTGCAATTCAGAGGTGAATATTGTACTTTTACTCCACTACATTTACTTTGCAGATATGGATTACTGATAACACAAAACAATTATCAACACTCATAATAAGACTTAAGTTATTTAAATTCACATGCTATCCAACATTTGTTCCACCTTCACTAGCTTGATAAACACATTCATATATCTATGATGATTATGATGATTCTGAAATAGGCCAATTGGCATAGCCAGACATTTTACTTTTGGTAGTTCAGGTATATTTAGATGCCAAAACTTTTACTTGAGTAACATTTAGAATATGGGACTTTTACTTGCAACAGAGTATTCCTACACTTTGCTATTTTTACTTTTACTTAAGTACAATATCGCAGTATTTCTCCCACCTCTACTTGGGTATTACCATTTTATGGAACACTTCTACTCCACTGCACTTCAGAGGGAAATATTGTTCTTTTGAAGGTCTTGCATTTTTTTTCGCCCGCTGTAGTTTATTAGATGATAGTTCCCTTCAAAAATGTTGAATGTAAGTATAAAGTAGTTGTTTTTATCATAAGCACTAGCAGTCACGCTCGTCATTGATGACTACAATAGGCTGAACAGACGTCCAACTGATGGTTGATCTGTTGTTCTGGCAGTAAGAGCTGACGAGTGTATGGGCGTAATGCTGAGGAGGTGAAATCTGCCCTCCTGGCTGCCCACCCTGATCTGACTGTGGTCTCCAACCCTGAGAAACCTCGCAGGAACAGCTTCGAGATCACTCTGCAGGATGGAGGCAAAGGTGAGGAGGACGAAAATGGGAAAACCAAGAATAACTCTGCCATCTGTTGTGACAAAGGGAAGAGGGAGTGTCATTATATAATTCTTTGGACTTTCAGTTATTTGTAGGGGCTTTTAGAGATTCAGTTTGTCACAATTATTGATAACCAAAACCTATTGTTTATTCCTCTGCTTGCTATGCACCTACTTGATTTGTATTTGCTAGGTTATAGGATATTCACCTCTTAGAGGATATTGGTGTTGATGAATTACATTTCATTTGGTGTTCAAAGCAACAATAATATCACAAATAAATGTGCATAAACAGAATGTTAAGGATATGACTTTTAGACTAGCTTTGGACAATTATGATAATTTTAGTTCATTGGTAAACTCTTTTCTGCCTTATTGAACTCTAATCAAAATAACAACAGGTAGCTGTGTTTATCAGAAATGCCTAAAAGCAGCCAGAGAAAAAATAATTACACATGTGCAAACACATAATATTCCTTTATCTAATTGCCTATAATATGTTTACTTAGTGAAATAGGTTGATGTTAGTCACTTTCTGAAGTTAGTGTTGGAGTATCGGAGTCAACACATTTCCAAAAATGTTCAACGAGCATTTGTTTTTTCTAAGGCTTTGGAAACAAATTACAAGTGTTGGTTATCTTCTGTATTGCTCTTACAAATGTCACTCTTAATGTCCAATTCCTAAAGAAACATCTCTATGGACTGGAATAAAGAAAGGTCCGCCACGAAAGCTCAAGTTTCCAGAACCTGATGTCGTGGTCTCTGCTCTTCAGGACGCTCTGAAGGCTGAGTAGATGCCTAGGTTTGTCTATTCAAAGCTATCAGACAGAATAATAAACAGATTGCAATAGCCACAAACATTATTCAAGAAATGCACTTAATAATGAAATGTGTTCAACTTTATTAAATAGAAACGCAGAGTAGAACTGCAACACGTGTTTTGACTAATCGAACAAAAACTTGATAATTGATGAATCAGTTTCTCATAACAGATATTTTAGAATATGTTGTTTTCAGACTCTCAAATATAGATACAGTAATTTTGGTGTTTTGTGTTATCGCAAATTTCACTTGGACTGAATTCCTTAGAGGTGTCTTTTGACTGTGGTACACAACAGTGATGTTAGAATTGTTGATATTTCAGAGTTTGACGAAAGTTTATCTTGTCTTACGTTACGTACAGCCGACAGTTCAGTGGATGTGACCGTGGAGGCATAATGATGAGGAGCGACGAATGAGATGTCCTCAGTCCCTCCTCGGATGATCGAGCTCCATCAGCTCACATCTTCTGGATGAATGCTGACATCTAGTGGCTCGTCTCTGAGCAAATACATTTCGAAGATCCCCAGTCCTGCTGTTTTTTTTAACGTGTTTCTTCTTCTTATTATGTCTCAATGGTTTATTGTGCTTTTAATTTGGTTTTGGTGAATAAAGTTTTTCTTGTTTCATAATTACTTGTGGATGTATGTTTTTGACTCCAGCCAATTGTTTTTTTATATGTTACGTTTTTTTGTATATTGCAACAACACCCTGAAAATGTTTTTCTGTTGTACAAGGCTTTTATTTGATGCCACTGTCTACTTCACTATATTTCAGAGGGTAATATTAAGAGCAATAAAAGAGCATTTTCCTATTATTTTTATGTTGGTAATGTAACAATATTACATTTTCACTTTAGGCTCTAGATATTTTTGACAGTATTTCTAACTAGTTATTACAAACCAAACATTTAATGGAGAAAGTTATACGTTAATAGTTAACACCTTCCTTTACCACCCTAACCTCCGACAACACAAATCATGAATATACAAATACACTTTTATTATGATCGCAAGACCAATGATCTAGAATAACAGTCTGAGATGATATTTTTCTGCATTTAGTTATTTCCCTTTTAATACCTTATTTACATATTTCTGTTTTTACTTGCATACCTTTACTTAACTCTTTCAATACATGACTTGTGTAGTTATTAGAGTATTTGTACAGTAGGACATTAGTACTTTCAGAGGTGTGTGATTTATAAAGCTAAATTATAACCTAATACATATATGAACCCACTCTTCAGCTCCTAAGACATTTAGGAATAATGAAAGAAGCATTTTCTTCTCTCGATAAAATGTATAACTACTTTTAAAATCTTGTTTTGAAGCCAACTTCAGACATGATAGGTTGGGAACGACGTGACGTCATCATTACGGGACCAGCCACAGCGTTGGTTGCTTCAGAGTTTGGAAACCTATTTCATTCTACAATACGCCTTGAAAAAAGTCCGTAAGTACTACACAATACAAAATAATCCACTCGTAGACATTCACCTGACAATATGGGAGTAGTTTATTGATGTTTGGAGTTTTTTTAAAATCCTCATTCCACCTTTACTGCTGAAGTTAAGAGGGCTAACTTAGCTACGGCTTGCTAACGGCTAGCTAGCTGGTCTTGCCATCGATGAGATAAATAGTGTTTTTATTGATACGTTCACGTTATAAAACCTGTTCCTACAGCCAGCAATCAGCCAAGGACTGGGGGTATTTCTGCTTTTCAAGATGATTATTTCAATTCACATCTGTTCTTGGGCTTCTTCCATGTCACTACACAACGTACTATCGTAATTGCACGTTACATTTGTGTACATGTGTTCACAACTTCACAGTGATCTCAATGGCTGTGTTTGGTATGATTAAGTCAACTCTTACTTAAAAAATAATAATATATAACACTCATTCAAAAAATAAGACATGCAACTCTTAAAGATATATATATATATATATATGGAACTAAAAGTGAGGCAGTAAAAGAGGCGTTGTAAGATATTCTACTGTTTATTATTCTGTAACGTTTCTTTCAATGTGCTGTTATTGCCATGTGTTTGTTACCTGGACTTTCTCTTGTCAGTAATGGCCACAGAAGGTGTGGAAACCACAAGTGAAGAGGTCCCAGTACCTGGAAAGGTCAGCACCAGGTATGATCTCGAGAAGGAGACTGAACTCAGGTTTGAGGTGGAGTCAGGGGAGGCAGTGGAGCAAATTGAACTGGAGCTCCTCACAGGAATGGCTGAGGTGTTTGGATCAGAGTTGAACCGCAACAAGAAATACACATTTGGAGCAGGAGCCAAGATTGCAGTTTTCACCTGGCAAGGCTGCAGTGTGAATCTCTACGGGAAGCCAGAGGTGAGCAACTGGAAGAGGGTCCATGCAAATGTGTGAATGTTTTAATGTGTGTTTTTTTGTGGGGTTATTTGGCGATTATGCTTTCCAATTGGATACAGCTCCACATTTAACACTGTGTAACTTTGGGATTTTGACATTTGATGTATCTCTCCTTCATCAGGTGGCTTATGTTTCTAAAGATACTCCCATGCTGCTCTACCTGAACACACATGCTGCCCTGGAACAGATGAGAAGACAAGCAGAACGGGACAATGAGAGGGGGCCAAGGGTAGGTTTGAATACAAAAAAATACTGTCTTCTGGGGATGTTGTATATAAGCGTACCAGATCTTAGTAAATGCATTTTCATTGATCTAGAATATTTTCTCATTCCTCAGGTTATGGTGGTTGGACCTACAGATGTGGGGAAGTCAACAGTGTGCCGGCTTCTGTTAAGCTACGCTGTAAGGGTGGGCCGGCGGCCGACACTGGTGGAACTGGATGTTGGACAGAGTGGGGTGAGATACATTTGAGTTATCATTAACATTGACCTAGACTATGAAAAGGAGAGGAATAACAACAACTGATATTTAAATATTTTGCATCGTTTAGTCAACCAGCGATCTCAAGTTATTTTTTTACAATAGTCAGAGCAAACTCCTTTTGATATGAAGAATTAACAACATTGTGCTCGTCAGGTCTCAGTACCTGGGACAGTTTCGGCACTGTGCATTGAGCGCCCAGCAGACGTGGAGGAGGGTTTCTCCGTCCAGGCTCCTTTGGTCTACCACTTTGGCTCTACTACCCCAGGGACAAACATCAAACTTTACAATAAGGTAAGAAAATAAAGATTCTGGCTTTTGGGTAACATCAGAGTTTAAAAACAAAAGCCCACTGCCAAACTACAAACTTTGTCTGCATTGTCATCAGTTATTTAGTTGTATTCGCCTCCACGTTTCTCACAGTTCTTTTCTCACCATTTGTAGCTAACGTCATGCCTGGCCGAGGTGTATTCCCAGCGCTGTGAGGTGAACAGGAAGGCCAGCGTGGGAGGCTGCATCATCAACACCTGCGGGTGGGTAAAGGGCTCTGGATACCAAGCTCTGGTCCACTGTGCCTCTGCCTTTGAGGTGGACGTGGTGCTGGTGCTGGACCATGAGAGGCTCTATAATGAACTCAAACGAGACCTCCCTCACTTTGTACGGGTTGTGCTCCTCCCTAAGTCCGGAGGCGTGGTGGAGCGCTCCAAGGAGTGCAGGCGGGATACTCGCGATGAGAAGATCCGCGAGTATTTCTACGGCTTCAGGGGAGTGACCTTTTACCCCTTTTCCTATGAAGTACGTTTCTCAGATGTCCGCATCTACAAGATCGGAGCACCATCCATCCCGGATTCATGTTTGCCCCTGGGAATGTCTCAGGACGACACACAGCTGAAGCTGGTGCCTGTGACTCCAGGGAGAGACCTTACGTATCATGTGCTGAGCGTGAGCAGCGCAGAGGACGGAGAGGAAGGGGCTAGAAAGGGTATCGTAGAGAGCCCTGTGTGTGGCTTTATCGTGGTGACTAATGTGGACACACAAACACAGGTGATGAAGGTGCTGTCCCCGGCACCCAGACCCCTGCCCAGACATACTCTGCTTATCATGGACATCCGCTTCATGGACAGTAAATGAAGTCACACTTTAGGGAAGAGGACTGAGTGTGAATTTCTGTTGAAAATAATATTGTTTTTTACTTGTTTTCTATATGCTTTGTAAGAACTACAGAGGGCAAAAGAGTAAGATTTTAAGAACTGAAATTAGTAGCTGCTGTAAATGTACCCTATTTTATAAGACTCTGTACAGACGTTTCGGCTATTTGTGACAATGCAATGTTTTTATTATTGCAGGAACTGTTTCTTTGATAATCTGTTTTGAAATGTTTTTGTTTGTTGAGTAATAAATGTTTTAAATGTAAAAAAAATGCTGTTTTGTTTCAATTGCATTTAGTTCCATGGTTGAGTACCTTTTCTATATTAGCACCGTATGTCAGTATATCTGATAACATTTCTGTGCATATGTCCAGTACGTATTAATGGATTGTGTCTTCACTTAGTTACAACTTTATCAAGCCTGGGAAAAGTATTTTCCAAAAAAGTCATCCAACATTTACAAACGTATGGTCAATGTGTCTGTGGAGTGGGAGAAGTGTTGTGTTGTGTGTTTGGAAAGAAGTAGGGCAAAGGCCACTAAACTGTAGGCCACATCCTAACTGAAATACATTACAATATGTCCGTTATTGTTAGGTGCACCACAATACAAGCTCTTTTGTTGTTTGTACTGTAAACACCTGCCAGCACACAGTTGAGTTCATCAAATATTCTAACATTTATTATCATACAGTAACAAGCTCTCTTTGTTGTAGGTTTGTCTGTTGTGGGGGATTTGAGCTGACCATCTGGGTGAAAACTTTGCAAAGAAATTGTTTAATCAAGCTTCTGTACTAAATCTCCTGCAAAGTTACCACCATGCATTAGTACTGTTTTCTTTTCCATAGGAAGCAAACAATAATAAACTAATGACAGTTGTGTGACATGATAATGCATTTTAACAATTGATTTACTTAAGCCTTAAGGTTTATAGCATCTCAGTAAAAACCTATTGAAATAGAGGACACAAAGGAGGAAGAAGTTGATTTATAGTTCAGTAATTTCATTTCATGACATTTTTATTTGTTTATTTTATTATATTCTATATTTGTGATTAATTGAGCTTGATCAATGTATCATCAATGATGGTTTGTACTCAGTAACAACTTTATCCAGACTATCTATTTAGGAATTGAACCTCCGTATTGTGTTTAAACTAATTTTATGAAGCTATTTGGGCGATAAATGTGTGGTGTAAATTAACTAAGTAGATGTACTCAAGTACCATACTTAAGTATAATGTTAAGGAACTTGTACTTTACTTTGTACTAATACCCCACTACAATCCAGAGACAAATCATATACTTTTACTCCACTACATGAATTGAATAGCTTTATTTACTTTGCAGATTTGGATGAATGATGTGATATATAACCAACACTTAAATAAGACTTTACACCTGGAGAAAATTCAAAAGCTACCCTGCAGCATAAAGTAATTAAAATTAGCGGCACCTTTACCAGCTATGATCAACCGATCAACACATTAATGCATCAATGATTATATTAAATCATATAATATTATTCTGAAATGGAACAATCTGCCTAATAAATACTTTAAAGTATTTTTTTACGTTTTACTTTTGTACTACTTGAGTACAATTTGAATGCAGGACTTTTGCTTCAAACCTACACTCTGGTAGTTTTACTTGTACTTAAGTACAAGACCTGAGTCCTTCTTCCAACTCTGGATAATTGTAAAATTATACAGTAAAACTTCATTATCATTCGGGGTTGTTTCTTAAGACCACACCTGCTCCTCTCTGATTGGCTGTTAATCCCACCTGAGGGACGACGGACTACTTCCGGGATTCCGATGTCGGCCTAGCCAGCGAGCTAACTAGTTTGCTAGCGGCTAAACTCAAGGAGGACCGTAACGACCCACACCCCACAGGCACGACAGCTCACCTGTTCGGCATTAGGTATGTCCTTCTTGTTTTACCTGCCTTATTTGGTCACTGTTTAGCCGAACATGTATCCTGCTAGCCGCCAATAAACGCTACTCCGCGAGTATAAAGCTCCCCATGCTAGCCAGGTAATGTTAGCTAACTATTATAGCTGTGGTAAAGGACTGAGCAGTGTCGCAAAAACTTTCGAGGCTAAGGTAAGATCTAGCTGATTTTTAAGTACGGTTTAAATATATCGTTATTGAATCGAGCGATATTACACAGAGATGAAACAACGCAGCGTCTATCATTGAGTTTAACAAAGTGAAGTGTGTTTTAATGAGGTTTATTGTGGTCGCTGTCTTGACTTATTCCTGGCACTGCCCTGGCCTGTTGTTAAACGCTTTGGTCTGTATGATCAAAAGATGATAGTGATAGTCAATCAACTGATTTATAACCAAACAAGGCACCAGCAAGATGTTTGACAGATACTTGGAACATTTAGTAAACTCATTGGCACTTTAACGATGTAGATTGCGAGCGGAAGATTGTTGAGGTGACATGACAGGCTCGACATGGGGATTTTAGGATTCACATCCGTATTGTTTGTTTTGCAGGTGAGCAGATAAACAACAGTCACACTGATACTCAAAGATCTGTATTTGTGAGCAATGATGACTGTTGAGAAGAGGGGTGTGTCTAAACTATCAGGTTTCACTGTTACTCCGGATCAGTTTTCAGTGTGCTGCTCACTTCGCTTTATTTCATCTGGAGATGAGGGAAATGAGTCTGATGTATGTCAAAGGCGTTCAGGCTCGTCCCAGATCGTCGATTCCCTGGTGTTTTGAATTTCAAGAAGTGGAAAGACGTGTTTCATTTGACTACCGGAGGGCATTGAGGTGACACGAGTGTGTTTAGCAACATCAGGCAGTTGAACAATATGAGTAATGGTGGAAAACACTCAGACACTAAGTGTAACGTCTGATTGTTGTGAAATCAGAGTGAAACATTTGCTCCTCTTAGATAACTCTGTCTGTGTCATATAACCTAACAAGGAAATCTACTTTTGACAGTGAGGTGTAAACTTGCAAAATGAAACATGGATAGTGTCCATTCACTTAGTAAATGGAAGGCCAAAGTTATTTATTACATCTTTGAATCTGCTAATAAAACATCAGTAATTATAAATGAATGAAATGCTCTTTATTTAATAAAAAAGCCCAAAATGCTGTTATTATCCAGCCAACTATAACAAAACACAAAGATGTTTGATTTCATGAAGACAAAGGAAAACAGCATATGCTTAAAAATGAAATGTGTCTCATATATGTTTTTTGAAATCGCTGCCATATAATAATCAAGTTCTTATTTCATCTGTGACTATTGAAAGCATTAGTTTTTGTTTACCACTGACATTTGTTTAATTGTTTTCCTTACAGGGGCATCTAACAGCCGACCCACAGAGCCAGTCGGTAAAAGACAACAGAAGGATAGCGGGAAAACGGGGCTAAAATGCATCCGACTACATAACACCACTGCTGCACATGACTTTGTTTAAGAAATGCAAAATGGGAAAGGAGGTCTATCTGCAGAAAACTTGCAGGTGGGAGATGTCCTTTCACCCAGAACCGGCCAAGTACGATGACGCTTTGATGACATACAAAGGACTTCTTTTTGGAATGAGTTGATTTCGTCCTCATAACAACACAAAGACTGGAGGCAAGGGTCTCGCAAGAACTAAGGGTCTCTGGCTGAGCGACTGTACTTCGGAAAGTCAAAGATAGACACATTTTAAAAACATTTTTTATCAGCTTTTTAAATATATTTTGCAGCTGGACGTTTTTAAAAAAAAAAAAAAACTTTTTATTTGTTGTTAAGCAGCTTTCCCGCAACTGGTTTAGTTGTTTTTCCCTGCTGACTTAGTTTGAGCGCTGGAACTGTCCCTTCTGCCGCCATCCTCTTTCTTCCACCCACCCAGTGCCTAAATAAGCCCTCTCGGGACAATCGCAGAAGTCATCAGCAGCTGCTGCGCTCAATCCTCTGCCTGTTCTCCTCTATGTGCTTCTGCTCTCGGCCTGCTGGCTATCCACCCACTACCTCTTTATTTTCTGCTCTTTTGTTTGTATATTCATTTTCTCTGAGACGCATAATCAGAACCTAAGCACAGTTGGCGAGCATTAATGTAAAAGCTAAGTTTCACGAGTCAACTGAAACCTAGTTTTCCTGTGTGCGAGTGTCTCTGCCTTGGTGTTCAAGCACTGAAGTTTAACGGTTACACTTGTGCCAGAAAGCGGACCGATTAGATTTATTTATATCGTCGCACCAAGTACAGTTACATTAAAGCCATACACAAATATTTATGAATTACCTACACATATTTTTGTAACGCATTGCTCTTGTATAGCTTTCTTTTTATAAGCCTCTATTAAGATTATGCACACATTCAATATTTACAACAAGCTGTATATTACTGTATAAAAAGAATCTCTGATTATATAAGTGCCAGAAGACTGTCTGGATACAGAGAATCCTTCATGTTTCCACTCAGTTGCTGCTTTGCATAGTGTTTTCTTTTCCAGTCTGTAGTCATGGCCCCTCCCACCAAACAAACTCCATATTCGCCATTTTGACCTGTAAAGCAGCCTTGACAGTAGGTAGTCTTTAGAAATCTACCTCTCTCTCTCTCTCTCTGTCTTCGTTCCGTCTCACTCTGATGCCTGGGTTCAGTGGTGGGGGGGTTGGGGGAGGAGTAGGTGTCCCTGCTTCTGCTCCTCCCCGTCCATTTCGTCCCAGCCGATATGTCCCGGTGTCCGCAGCCACCACGTTCCTCGTCGGATCCACCACCCTCTTCTTCTGCTTCACGTGAGTGTCTCTTTCCTTATCTCGTTCACATGCACAAACACATAATGCAAACATGGTGAAAGGGTTCTACGTCACTGCGTTATCAATCATATCTGTACCCTTGGTGTGTGCTAAAGGCGTGTGAATATCCCTCAGTATTTACAGAAGTCCTCTTGATGGTTTACCCTATCGTTTATTCTTGAAAAGAGTGCATGTTTGCTTTGTAAACTTGCCCTCTTTTCAGGAACACTTGTACTAACAAGGTTCCTTAGAAACACATCTCCGAGCTCCTTTTTCACAATCACATTCACTTGAGTTCAATTGAGCTGCTTGGGGGTACATTGCCTTGAACAAAGTCTGAGAGATACCAGGCAGACCAGTGTTTAAAGCAATGGACTGTCCAACTGTAATTTTATATTTAATTGAATATCCTTTTCTGTTCTGTTTAGGTGCCCATGGTTGTCAGAGTATATCTCCTTTGTCATTCCCATCTACGTTGCGGTGATCTTCCTCTTCACCCTCGCCAACTTCTGTATGGCAACTTTCATGGACCCTGGAGTCTTCCCCAGAGGTAAACACATGACGCCGAAATGAATCCCCATGAGCACGATTCATTTGAAATAGACTGAAATAGTATAACGTAATGCAGGAAGTTCATTAGACCAGATGTTATGATGTTAGTGCCGTCTCAGTGTTTGTTTGTTTCTGTTGTCTTCAGCCGAAGAGGATGAGGACAAAGAAGATGATTTCCGTGCGCCGCTCTATAAGACGGTGGAGATCAAAGGGATCCAGGTGCGCATGAAGTGGTGCTCGACCTGTCGCTTCTACCGCCCGCCGCGCTGCTCGCACTGCTCAGTCTGCGACAACTGTGTAGAGGTACACACACACACACACACACACACACACACACACACACACACACACACACACACACACACACACACACACACACACACACACACACACACACACACACACACATATTCTATTGTCATGAGCCTGAGTCCTAATTTTAGATTATTTAACAAAATGTCACAAATATTATTAAAAGTTATATAGCAGAATTGGGGGACAGTTTCAGATTTTCCTGTCTTGTTTTAGGCGTTTAATAAATATCATTTCCTTTTTTCTTTGTATTTACTCTTCCTGTATGTTTTTCTTTACTGCTTGAATTTCAGTTGAACTATTACAACTTTAGTAACAATTACAAAATATATATTTGAAGATTTATGTTTCCAAATATGCACAGCACTTATTTTTAAAGTGCTTCTCTCATGAGGTTACAGTACATACACCTGTGTTTATGTTCTTGTTTTAATAGCAAGTCCTAATATCACAACACACTTGTATGACTTTACTGCTCAACGTAGATCTCTCTTATTGTTTAATTTTCCATGTTTGAACATTAGGAAGAAATCGTTTTATTTGATGTTTTGCATATGACCTTTAATTTCCTTCCTGTCACATCCTCCCAGGTGCTTACACAATCTTTGACCCTGTGCTCTCAGGATTTTGACCACCACTGTCCCTGGGTGAACAACTGCATTGGTCGGAGGAATTATCGCTATTTCTTCCTCTTCCTGATATCACTTACCACCCACATCATTAACGTGTTTGGCTTTGGCTTGGTTTATGTCCTGCACCACCGCCATCAGCTGGACACGCCACACGCTGCTGTAACGTATCCTTTACTGCTGACCTTAAGCTGCAGGACTATTAAAGGGATTTGCTTTTCACACGTTTAATTTGTTTGTCTTTTTGGCATTGTGGTAGTTTTTCTGTGCTGGATTTGTTGTTACCTCCTTGACCCTCTCCTCCCAGTATGGCTGTAATGTGTGTGGCTGGTCTGTTTTTTGTCCCAGTCACGGGCCTCACTGGGTTTCACATGGTGCTGGTTTCTCGCGGCAGGACCACAAATGAACAGGTAGCTGGTTGTGTGCATCCTATCCCGCATTATTAAATTCACCCAGAAATAAATGTTTCCTTTCTGTATGTTCTTGCATTAATGTTGTTGTCACGTTTTTCTCTCCCCCTCCCTCTCACTGTAGGTGACGGGGAAGTTTCGGGGAGGTGTTAACCCTTTCACCAACGGCTGCACAAGGAATATTTCTCATGTGCTCTGCAGCTCCCAGGCCCCCAGGTGAGTCTTTCTCTCTCCTCTGCACTCATAACTCTTTTCACTGCTTTCTCTCCCCTTTCACTTTGCCACACTCCTCTTTGATTGTTCTTACTTGTCTGTTTAGTTAATATAATGAACAAAAGCCTTCAGTGTTATTTGCTTCTGGTGTTAGATTATGAGCAAAATACTGCTACAGCTGTTTAAAGGGAGAAACCTCACCTTTTTTGCTACTGTCAAATCACTGTTGATCATAAAAGTTTCTTTTTTGTTAGTAACACATTTCTCACTGCGTGCCATATAGTATTCGCAGTTTTATTGTTTTTGCAGCTGCACAATCTGTCGAGGCAGTGATTTTATTCTTCGAGGAACAACTTGCTATTTCAGATTCGCCCTACTCTTGGTAGCCGGGACATATTCAAATATGTTATGTTAAAAATAATTCAAATATGTTATGTTAAAAATAAAATTCCTTCCTTTCTTCCCTTGCATTGCAACCTAGCCGCTTTGTTTCAACAGTAAAGAAATGGCATCCCAAAATATGTGCGCATGCATGTTAGGGATGAGAAGGACAGTAATTTAGCTGACTTTGGATGTTCGGCCGTGTTTTTATGAGCCGGAGTATACGGCCTTAGAAATGCTGTGGCTGCCTTGCAAGAGGATATGGCAGACGGGAACCTCAGGAATTCAGAAGCTGGCGCGCAATGAATCCTGGTACATGTAGGCACTGCTGGGTTAGAACTTAGTTTGCTCTTGTCAAATATAACACTGAGGAGTAAATGTCTTGCCTCGCTCAGATACATGGGCCGGCAGCGGAGCCCTCTCACGATGGACGTGCAGCCGCCGTTCCTCAGACCGGCACTCACTGAGGCTCAGCTGGAGGCCAAGGTCCTGGACAACGGCATTCAGAATGACCGACACAGCACCAGGGTGAGTGACACGAGACCCGACAAACGTGCAAAAACAAGCAATCTAAATGTGGACGTTTAGATGTAGGAACTCCACGGAAGATACAGAGTTATTGGTATTGTGTGCTTGCCTTTTATGTGTGTGCTTTTACTGTTATTTTACATCTGGGACGCCCCTAAAAGGAATGTATATAACATTTTCGGCCTTACTACTTTCGATTTATCTATAATGTTAAATTGCCAGATCATTATTTTCCAATAGTTCTTTGTGACTGGTGTGTAGGATCAAAAGCTTCGGAAATTAAAAATAAACCAAAGAATCCCATACACTTTCAAAAACTTGAACTCACTTTATAAAGCCAATGTTCTGGTCTGCATTGCAGCCAAATCCATAAAATCAGAACAAAATCCCAGACAAAACATAAAAAACTAGAATTGTATAAGTATGCTGATATTCTTCAAATGATCTCAAGCGGTTCAGTAAATCTTTCAGAACAGATAAAGTACAAATACCTGAGGTCATATCACCAGATTCCGTGAATGAATTAAGATATGCATGCTCTGCTAGTTAGGAGTACTATTTACATAGTTTTGGAGCGTTATATGAAAACTGATTGAGATATATTTGCATTTATCGGTCTCAATGTAAAGCAAACAGGACTCTTAACAGAAGATTACATTTTTCCCCCCAATACTTTTTACATCCTGCGCCACACGTCACAGGATTCCCTTGATTGCCACCGTATTCTGTATTACTGAGTGAAACTTTACGCTTCATGAAAACCCCACCCTATCTCAATAATGTGTTATCAGCTGCGTACGAGGGCGTTCATACTGAAAGTATTTTGAGTTCATCAGATGCCAAAACCGTGAACATTTTTTAAATGGTTTTCATACATTCAAGAAATCGTGTATGTAACATGTGATTTCTTTTTTCCTGTCAAAAAGTCAGTGTTCGAGGGTTAACAATGATTTTGAGTCATAGGCCTGATGGTGTAAGTCTGCTTACACTTATTTTTGCATCTTCTCCAGTCCAAAAGCAGTCTAGATCAGATAGAGAGCCAGTCAGCTGATGCAGAGCCTCCTCCTCCTCCACCTCCTCCAAAGCCAGAGCTTCGGTACCCTGGTCTGCCCCGTGCTGACACTGAGGGTGAGACACACACTTACACACACACGAGGGAATCTGTCACCTGACATGCCAACCGGCCAAGTGCAGCCGGGGAACTTCAAGTATTACCTCCTAACAGATTATGTTTGTTTGCTAATCACAAACACGCCTCTTTTTCAAGTTTCACTTTTGTTGTCTTGCCCCTCAGAGAGCAGCTTGTTGACTGAAGCTCCTCCCACACCGTCAATGTTCAAGTACCGACCAGCCTTCAACAGCCCAGGAAGGAATCACACTGCACTCACACACCTCAACAAGGTACATACACCTGCACAGGTATAAGGTATCAACTATTCACATAAGATAATAAGCAGCCTAGAGTGAAGCTAACCGCATGTCATGCCTTATTAGAAAAACAGACACATGTTAGACTCATGCAAATCTAACCTTGTACTTATAGGCCGCAAGGTGAACCTCGAAAAGTCCTTTAGAAAAGAAATCCCGCTCCACAGAAGTGGAACTACATAATCTTTAGTTCATAAAAAAGAACGAGTCATGCTTATCCACCAAAGAAAAGTTCGTCGCTAAACCAGACCAAATGGATTCTAAACAGTGCTGTATGCTTGTTTTATGTCATGTTTTGTCATATGTCTTAATACATCACTAAGTCCGAGGTATTTGCGTTATATACGCGGTATTTGTGAGAGGTTTTACTATCTGGGAACAGAGTTGACCATCGAATCAACATTGGCTAGCAGCGTTTATCAGCCAACTCCAGCTACAACAACATTCCTGGACTACCATGTTCGCATCGCTAGGTTCATTGGCTGAACTCGTGGATTATTCCATTAGACTGAGGACTTTTTGTCTGTCTGTCTGTTGTTATTGTTACCCTGTACACGTTAAATGCACTCTTACAATAAACATTACTTGATTTCATACATAGCTGCGTCCAAGAAGGTTAACTTGTTACGTTAAGTAATTTAGATCAATAAAATGCAGTACTTATACCAATGACCATTGATTCATTTATTTACTCATTCATCATATAATAATTTGATGAATTGCATTATTATTATTATTATTATTATAGATTATTATTATAGATATATATAGATTATTATTATATATATAGATTATTATTATAGATATATATAGATTATTATTATAGATATATATATTATTATAGATATATATAGATTATTATTATTATATAGATTATTATTATATATATATTATTATTATTATAGATATATATTATATAATTATTATTATTATTATTGTAATATGATAATATTGTATTTGTAACTTCAAAATCAATGCCACCGTTGTAAGCTTGTCCTGTACGTATTCCATCTTGTATTGGTAAAATAATCAACCTTTTCGTGCTTCACAGACGTAATATGCATGTAACAATGTTTGTGTGTTGATAATTTTGACTTTTTGAGACTTTCTGGTGCGTTTTCCTCGTCCCCGCTACTCGATGAAACCATGGCGGTCGCCATTTTTTCCAAATCTGTTTATTGATACCGGTATATGCAGCTACCCAATTAGTGTAGCACGATCACGTGACGGACCGTGGCACTACTTTTGACCAAGATATTATTACGTTTTGAAGGGACTAGTTCAGCCAATAATTACGTGCCTAGAAGAATTGACAGGAATTTTAGCGACGAAACTTTTTTTTGGTGGATAAGCATGACTCGTTCTTTTTTATGAACTAAAGATTGTGTAGTTCCACTTCTGTGGAGCGGGATGAAACGATAACAGGGTTCACCTTATGGCCTATTATGAATATATAAAACCTTGTTGATATCAAATAGCAGGACATTTAAAAAAGCATAAAGGGATGTGGTTAACCTTATCGCACAAAAAGATGGAAACAATATCCCATTGAACAGATGGTCTGCTGGCTGTTATGCCCGCACCCTTCTAATTTCCTTTGTGGTTAATGCCATGCCCCTCTTTTTTGTTTTTACTCTGAATTGACCATTCAGTGGCCATCGGTCGATCAGTAAGTCTCAGCTAGTGTCATCTCTGTGTGTCCTTCTGGTTGTCTCTGTGTTTGAGTGGATCTATCCTTTCCCCTAAGACTGCATTGACTGCAATGTGTACTTCCTGTACTGTATGTACTTGTATTTCCATTTCTATGTTGATACACATTCTTTGACATGCAGTGTCAGTGCCTGTTCAAGCCAGTCAATGTTTCCACTCCAGTAGTGTGATGTTGGAGTAGAGCACCGGTCAAGCATCCAATATTTCCCCAACACTCTTTTTTTTCTGTAAGAATATTTAATAAATTCCTGAAGACACATGGTGATTCTAATCTCTCTCCCCTCCTCTTCATCCCTGCATTCATCTTCATCACACTTCCTCCTCTTTCTACCTTCCATCTGTTTCTCCTCTCAGATGATCCGTGGGGAGAGTCTTGACTCTCCGTCTCCCACCATCCTCCAGTCCAGCCGTCAGTCTAGCTACCGCTCGGAGCCGAGCAGCCTGGATGGGACCACAGTGGTGGGGGGAGGTATGGGGGCGCGCAGGGGGGGAGGGGAAAGGGGTGAGGGCCCCGGAGGCCCTGGCGGGACTGCTGGGATGATGTCGGGGGGCATGTCAGGCTACTCCCTGACTGGACGCTCCTACACCTCCTACCCGTCCTCTCTGGTTCTGTCCGCTGGCGGCTCTCGCTCCTCCAGCCTGCGCTCAGCGCAAACGGCACATAACCCGTTGACCACGCTCCAATCAGAGGGCACCACAGACACCAGCTACAAAAGCCTGGCCAATCAGACGCCTCGGAATGGCAGCCTGTCCTATGACAGCCTCCTGACGCCATCCGAGAGCCCAGAGTTTGAGTCCGCTGTTCATGAGCTGTCGCCGCAGAAGCCTCGTGCTCCGTTTCCCTCGGCAACTGTAACCGGCCAGCATGACAGGGTGTCGCCCAGCAGCCCACTGCAGGGCTACACGTCGCCCTTCCTCTCAGCTCAGATCGCCCAGCAGAGGGAGGGGCAGCTCCTCCAGGGCTCTGCCACTTTCTCCTCCCCCCACAGGGCTTACCTGCGTGCCGTCAGCCCGCCCCCCCACTCCCCCTCTGGGCTTCCTGAGGTCCAGCACCTGCTCCAACATAACCAGGACTCTTCCCGAGCCCCTCGTCACCTTTCCTCCTTATCCTCTTCCCCTCGCTCATTCGAGCCCCCTATCTCCCCGCCACCTCGCGGCCTCTCCCTTGGCAAGTCCCCGTCTTACATAGCGGAGGTAGGGCCTCAGCACAAGCCTCGGCCTGCAGGTGGAGGCATTGTGCTGGGGGGAGGAGGAGCTGGAGGAGGGCCACAGGCTCCACAGTGAGTAATGATCCGTCTCCAGACCCTTCAGCCTGCTACCTTTCCTCCTAATTCTCTGCTTCTTTCTCCCTGGTTTGTCAGTCCTCCTCTTCCTCCCTGATCTGTGTGAGTCTTCCTTTTCCTCTTCTGCGGTTTACAGTCAATGTTTGCTTGTTAAGTGTTTAACAGTTGTTGTGTGTATGTAAGTCTTATCGGTTCAGTTTGTGGGTTAGTAATAAAAGCATGGTAGCTCTGTGGAAGCATGCCTTACCATGTGTTTGTCATGTAACCTTTTCTTTCCTTTTCTTACTCACCAAGTTACCAAATGCCTTACAAGATTGATGGTAGAGAAAAACAGTGCTGTCTGTAATTGTTTGTTGTTTGTATTGAAGCAGAACCACTCACCTCCACATCCTTTTATCCCTGTCCTCACCCCTAATCTCCCCCTCCTCCTTTCTCCTTCCTGATGGCTGTCCAATCAGATCCACCTCTCGTCCAGTCTTGGCCAATCACACCACATCGAAACCAGGTGGCGGAGTGAAGAAGGTGACAGGCGTCGGAGGGACCACTTATGAGATATCGGTTTGAGGGACAGACATCCTTTGCTGTCCATCACAGGAGGGGAAACGTCCCCTGACTACTTCCACTTGTCTCTGACCTGAGCTGAACATTATTCACGACTGCAGGCTCCTGAAAAAATACTTTTTTTCCATGGCAAAAGACTAAAGGAGCAGACCTGTCTGGTACCCACTTTGTTATATTTGTAACGCCACTGGCCAATCCGTTCAGATTTGAACAAAGAGTATAAGGGGACCCCTCATTTTTCACAGGATCAAGTCGTCTCCATTCAGCCACTTTGTGAGCCATAGACTGTACGATCAAGGCTGGGTATAAACGTCTGCAGAACACAGTTATCCAATGATTTGCTGTTTCATTTGGTATATTAGCACACATTGACCACTGTGTCTGACCCTTCAGGAGAGGATGGCCTTTATCCAGTGGACCGCGAGGATTTGTTGACCAATAGAAACATCTTCTTCACTTTCTGAATGGACCACACAACCTGTTTAACCATAAGTCATGGAAAAAGAGTCCAACCTCTAAACACAGTATCATTTTAGTTTTATAAATCTTTTTTTTTAAATATTGTTTTATATAAATGTGTAAAATCTTGCAGATTATTATTGGGTCAACTTGTCAGGTATTGAAGATGACTATGTATGAGGGTGGCAGATGTACTGTGTGTAATTATTCATGAAGCGATTTCAAATCAGTTGCCGGTTTGTATTTAATGGCTGCATCAGCCGCTCATGAGCTCTTGCTGGAAATGTCATCGTTCAAAGAGAAGGATGGTCGTTTGGTGGACAGCTGAAATGGCAAATAATTGAGCTTAATTTTCTGAAAGCCACAAAGAAATTCAGTATCACGGTTTTCGGCACAAGCATCTTTGTGGAATGTACGCTTGTAATGTTGATTCTAAAGACATTATGCAAAATCTGTTAGTAGCTTTAAGACCATGGTATGTCTTTTTGGTGTTTTTTTATTTCATTTTCTGTAATGCTCGGTCAGTCTATCAAGATGCTTGCAGAACCTTTACCAGATGGCCAGCGAGGGAAGGGCTTATTTATTTCATCAGACCTTGTAGTTTTGGACACGATTTCAAACCAATCTACTCGTTTCAGTTTTTTTTAATTTGAATGGATAGAAGAATATATTAATATTTTTATGAAAAATCATACTATAAATGATATTGTGAATGCAATATGCCACTGAACAGAAAACAAAGAAGTGGGGACTGGTTTTCAATTAGCGACGCTGTTCATTGCTCTTGTTTTGCCTTGAGACCATTCATAGTGAATCATGCACATTTACATTTTTTCTATTGGTTTGTATTTTTTTACACTTTTCCGAGGAAAAAATATGTACCGCAGATTTTTTGGATTGACTTTAAAACGTCTGTAAAGGTACAGTTGATTATTTTTTAACCCAGAGCCATGTTGAAGAGTAATTACAGAAAGGGAGGTGTGCTTGAATTTTAGGATTGGGCATTAGAGTTATGGTTTTAGTTTTTCTAGCAGTAGAATGTCAAAGCTGGCTGAATGTGGCACGTATTTGGGGGAAAGAACACGCTTGTAGCACACAAGTATCATTGTTTAACCCAAATGGCCGTGATTTTCATCCCTACCAGTTCCCTATGTCGTTGGTGTGCATGTGACTTTTGTTTGTCGTGCTGAATGCTTCTCTGGCGTGTGTACTTGTGAGAATATTCTCAAAAGCCCACCTGGTTGACGTGTGGGTGCTAACAAGAAAAGAAGCATTAATGGCACAGGAGATTAAGAGAACCTGTGTTACTTTTCTTCCTGCTCTGGCCGAGGATGATGGCCACTGAACAATTTGAAACTATGTGAGAACAGTATGTATACTTCTGTGTGAGATAAAATATCGTGGGCTGTGGCGAATGGAACGAGTTTCACAAATATCTGTAACGAGTACATTAAAGACATTTCCAAAATGGCCTTATAAAGAATTTTTAACAAGATGTCTTCTCAGAATAAAAAAGGTAATATTGATAACTGGATTTGTGTATTTATTTTTTCCGTTTCAACTCTTACTTTGGTATTAAACATGAGACATCAGTAAACACACACATTACAAAATACAGACAGCTAAATGTCACACGCAGGGATGAGATGTTGCTGAAAGTATCAAAAGGCATTCATTACAAAAAAGGCACATGTTCTCAAATAATTTAAGTTATAAATGTAATAGAATGTCCCCAAATCATTGCGGCAACCACCCTGCCTAATACCCAGATGGACCAGGGGAACATGGTGCAGTTTACTGGGTCATTATTTTCCCATGTAAAGAGATGACATCTAGCAGGGGTCCAACCTATTTTCCTCTCTACGTTCCATAATACTCTGGACTTCTGCAAAATGTAAGGCGTGGCAAGAAAAGGAGAGACTTCATGCAATCTTCTTCTTTTCTCTTTACTGGTCTTTCTTGCTTTCTGTGGGCTGCTCCGTGATTTCGGTTTCAGGCTCGAGCTCGTCGCTGCCCTCCTCTGGCTGAACGTCGTTCTGCTGCTCTTCCTTCAAAGCTTTACTTTTGTTCATCTTCTTGGATTTTTGGAAGAGCTCATTCAGGTTAAACTCTCGGATGATGTTCTCCTAGAGATTAAATAATGTACAAGTTGGCATCAATGTCGCAGAACTTGCTCAATGTGTTTGTAACGGACAAGTCTTACCTCACTGAAGGTCCAAGACACAGCTCTTGCTTTGTTGTCCACCATTGGACGTCTCATAAGTTCCTGCCCTTCTTGAAAAAGCATCAGTGAGGGCAGCTGCCTGGCCAGAGGAGAAGTACTAACTCTGTACCTGTGAAGGAAAAAATCATGGGACAGTCAAAACCATAGCTCAGAGAATCTGTAAAACATGTGGTTAGCATAAACACCAATAGTATGTTACTGTAGCCTACTTCTATATCATTATAGACAGGCTTACCTCTCTGCAACCTCTCCGTAGCTACCGATGTCCACCTTCCCAAATCTGAGTCCAGGACAGTTGTACCTAAAGAACGCAGGGGAAAGAAGCGTGAGACATTCATGCCTAACTAATGGTAGACAAACACTTCCTAAAATTAGTCCATTTTTAGTGAGCATAATGACTTTGATACCTCTGCAGAACAGTCACATATGTTTAATCCAACATCATGGTTATAATTACTGAAGGAAGTAAAACATGAATTTAAATGTTATTTTAATGTTCAAATCTAAAGACAAATTTAGACAGAAATACAGTATTGTATATGAAAGTGAGTTATTAAGCCAATCTTCCATGGAATAAATGCCTTCAAATAAAACACTATCATGTAGCAGGAGGCTGTTGACTGTTTGCAGCTGGTATTAAATAAATGCAATTATTCTTATTTTTCATATCAAAGACCATGCTTTTACAGGGAATGTAGGGGTGAATGCGAGAAATATATGGATGTAAAACGTATAATTGTTTATTAATAAAGTAGATCTTCAAGCAAAAATACTTTATAAAAACGAAATAGATATAATGGTTGCTTGTTCAAGTGAAAGCAACACTAGTGATTTGTAGGTTTATAGTAAAAAGTGTGTATTTCTCTAGTATTTTAACTTAACTAATCCTATCACATACTGTAGATGTCTTTCTATATAAGTGACTTATTAACTTGTTCAGGGGCCTAGGGAAACCATGACTGAGACTCTTACTTGAGTGAAAGGTCTGCAAAGACAGGAGCGAAAGACTGGCAGTCAGAGGACCAGTTTGCGTAGAATTCAACAATCCAGGTGACACGGCTGTCTTTCCGTAGCTCCTCCTGATGAATAAAAAACACAGTATTTAATCAGTATGTCAGTCATTTACACCTCCTTGCCTCCATCATCAGATAGAGAGGTCTTACATTTCACTATTTTCTTTTCAAATTCAATTACATACTTGGCATACTGCTATTATAATGTGCCTGTCTCATGGACACTGTCATCAATGCAAAAACATTCCTATTGCATTGTGTAATAAAATAAGATAAGATGGAACTTTATTTATCCCCTTGGGGAAATTCCGGCATTTGAAGCAGCAACAAGGTAAGAGTTAAAAACAGGATTCACACAAGGTCAAAATAAAGATAAAATAAAATACAAATTAAAATACACATTTAACTGTTGAAACAAGATATCACAGTTAAACGTTGAGCATTTGAATGAACATGTTAAATATATTAACATAAGTGTGCAGGTGTGAGTGCGGGTTAAAGTCTTGTAAATAAGAAGTTAGTTTATTTATGTTTGTATTATATTGAATACAAATACTAGATTGTCTGTTATAATGCCCACTAATTGTTATTTTTCCCTAACATTTCAAATGCCTGAGGTTCTGCTGTACATCCAAATGGTAGTAACCCATCATAAAGGAATGTACACGCCTTTTAAAAACAAACTGTAATTCAGTGTGGCCTGTAGTGAAACACTCACAACGATGGTCTTGTCACTGAAGTACTTGATGTACTCGGGACCCATGTAGAGCGGAGGCTTACAGGTCATGACGAAAGCTGAAGAGAAGGCACAGAGAGAGAGACTAATAATTTAACATCACACAGGCTTGTGGTGAAAGAAACAATTATTAAATGTAAGTTTTACATTTATTAAAACTATGAAAATATCAGCTTAGGTTAATAAATTGCATTTAAAGCCTATAAGCTTCGTTTGACACTAAACATGTGTCAATTTAGCAAAGAAAGTGACGTGCCAATCTATAAGACTTCAGTGGAAGAGTAGTATAAAAGAAATGAAACACTGGAATCAGAATTCATTTAAGCTTTAGTCACGGTGTCCTGAGGAATATCCACGTTGTGTTAAGAAATGGGTATCTACTGCAATTTGCTGCTATTTTTTTGTACTCACATAAGTCAATTTCCCCTAATTACGGATATCTACCAGTAATTCTATAGAAACTGTAAAGGAATATATAGCTCCAAGTCAGTGCTTCTCAAAGTGTGGTCCGCGGACCACTGGTGGTCCGTGAGCGCCCCCTAGTGGTCCGTGAGTATATTGGTAAAATTTCACATTTGAAATAAATACATTTATTTAAGTTGTTCGCACTCTCGCGGGAATATCTCCGCAATGGAACGAGCTTAAGTTTCACTTTCGATTGCATGATATAGCCCAGATAAGCACCTTCATCACACATGTTGCCACTTGTTTGTACAATTTTCAGGCGATTTGTAAAAAACGATGTGTTTTTGGAAATTTGTGGAGTTAGGTGGTCCGCGAGTGTTTTTTTATTGGTTAAGTGGTCCTTGGTATGAAAAAGTTTGAGAAACACTGCTCCAAGTCAATATGAAGCCTTAGAAGTCCTATTTAGAGGGTCTCCTGTAGTGTTCTTAAGTTTAATTATACTCAAACATTATTAATACTTATACACGTTTATGGGAAAAAGAGCAGATGTGCTACTTTGATTAGCGCATGTTACATTTTTAATGACTTTTCTATTGTTTATTTACAAGAAAAACGCAGATTAAACACCAATATGTGTGAGAAGGTATAATGTGACCTTTATGACTGCTTATAATGAATATCCCTTCAAATAACTTCAATATGTTGTGGGTGGGGCAGAAGTTTTAAGACCACTGACCAACACACAATGTGAGGTAAAAGATGCCGAGCCGGATATCCAGTCTGAAGAAGAGGATGACGTTGGCCACTTTACTGAACATGAACAAGTTGCCCACGTGCTGCTCCATTGTGACTGAGGAACAGGGAGAGAAGAGAGGAGGAACAATGAATGGAGCACATGGAAAACCTTCAGGTTGGGGAAACAAGGTCAAAAGCAGGTGGGATCACACTGCATGTTTACACAACAAAGCAACGTTTTGGGGGAAGCACTTCCTGTGTGGCTTGCTGCAGAGCTTCTCCTCTGGTTTCAGGTTAAAAATTAGAAAACAATTACACATTAAGTCATAAATAGCTATTGGGTAAAAGTTTGAAAGTTACACATTATAAGATACAAATACATCAAAGAATGTATTCGGAAATTAGGACCAACAAAACAAGACAATAAAAGACATCACGAATGAATATTTTTCACAATTTTCTGACATTTTCCGACCAAAATATTTATATTTAAAAATAATTGTCCAATTAATCAATAGTGGAAATAAGAGTTAGTTGTAGCCCTAGATAACTGTGTATACCGTTTGTATACAGTACAACTTAATAAGAAGACACATTTCTCATGTTGGTCCACCCCTCCTCTCAAATTGAGTATCTCATCTGCTTAATCCATGGGGCCCCCTTTGAGATGTTTACAATGTAAACAATATAAATAGTTGGTTTACACATAAACAAAGGGGGTTGTGTGCGTGTGCGTGTGCGTGTGTGTGTGTGCGTGTACTTACTTGCTCTTCTGTTCTTCATAATCACTATTGCACCCAGAAACATAAGAATCTCCAGCTCTCTCTATAAAATAAAATAAATACAATAATAAAAGAGTAAATTAGCTTTCTCCTGTAGCAAGGGCCCGTCCATATTTAGCAGCAGCATGTCTGCAACACTATCCCCAGCATGCTCACCCAGTCAAAGTCGCAGGAGTTGCCGTCCTCGCGCTGGGTCGCCAGCTGCTCGCACAGACCTGGAGACTTTCGGACCAGCAGAAAGGCGACAGTCATAATAACCGAGGCGATATAATACGGTTTTAGCAGCCATTTGTAAATCTGAGGTAAGTGGTACAAGAAAGAGAACAGTCCTGTGATAAGACCCATGTTGGCAAAGACTACAGACCACCTCGAGGGGTATGAGGGGCAATGACAGCTGAGCCTGAGGAACAACTGGCAAGACTTCTACTACATCCGCGCATGCGCAAAACAAAACCGAGTTCGTATGTTTTGGGCTCAGCGATTTGCCGTAGATTTGGCGGGTAATGCAAAAACGTAAATAGAGGAAGCTGAAAATGGAGGAAATTGCAGACCCAACACAACAGCAGGTTGAAACTCGAAATAATGAAGCTAAAGGAAACCTTTCCTCAAATCTGTCCGAGACTGAATCAGTTGATAAGCTGCCCGACGAGCCGGAAGCTCGTTATAACAGGCTCAAGCTGTTCGACAAAGTAATTCAGAAAAGCCTGGAAAAGTTCATCGAGCAGGCCAGGTAAAGTAAAGAGTATTTGTGTTTATTGTGGAAACATGTCCCAAAACGACAGTAAAAAGCCTTGTATGCAATATTTAAAGTTTGTAGCGCTCTTCGAGATCATTATTTATCGCTAATTTACAGTGTAAGGCATAAACTGAGATGAGTGAGAGAGGTATGTTTCTGAAGTTGCAACGAAGCTAACATGAAGACAGAGATGAGCGACGAAAACAGTGTGTAAGTGCTGGTGTAAATGACAGGTCTTAGCATTGTATGATGATCATGACTGTGTAGCATTCATTGAAACAATTGTCATTTAAGTTGCCCAAGATTAAATACTTTATTGTCATACAACTTAATTATGAGGGACCTGCCTCGGTGTGTTTCTGACCAAAAGAAAAACCATCAGAGAAAAGTCCAAACTAACCATACAAAGAATCCCCAAACCTTGTAGAAAATACCTGCTTTTTAGAAGTTATTTTACTCGAGTTAATGCAAGACTTGTGTTTATTGATTGACAAGATTAGACTTTTAATTGTTTGTAAATAATAACTGCTTAATTTTTTTTATTGTCTGACATGGCATCAACAATTCAGTATATTTTCATTATGTCCGCGTTATTTTTGTTGATCCATCAATATGTTGTCTTTTTGTTTTTATTTCATTTAAAGAAATATCCGAAAATAATGAAATATGCCCAGAAAGGTTCCTTAAGTCCAAGGGGACCTCTTTTATTAAGTTGAAATGTCAAATGTACAATCCAACACCCAGATATATATGCCTTGAATTATATAATAAAGAAAAGCAAAAAATCCTCACATCCGAGGCCCTGTAAAAAGTTGTAACTTTCCCTTGATAAAATAATTGAAAAGTACTCGGTAAATGGAACTGCTGTCATGAATAATGTTCTGTCTATCAATAATAGAATAATATATCCTTTCAGTACTTGATGAGTTAGGTGAGAAAATGTTTGGTGTTTTGGAAAAGCCACTGTTCGCTGACACTGCTTCCACTCACAGTTTCAACAGATTCGCCAGCACGTTTCGCCCGTTGTACAAGAAGAACCCGCAGAAGATGAAAAACATTCACAAGCAGTTCATTGAGGAGTTGAGGAAAAATATACAGGTATGTAGCACATCATATTTATGAAAATAATAATAACAAATGTAAGATGTACTGTCTTGTTGTTTGTATTAAACATGTGTATGCACTTGCTTACATGCCTGTGTATCATGTGTAGGAGGACATCAGCAGATTGATTGAAGAAGGCCGCTTAGAGTTCAAAATGAATGAGCTAGACGAACTGGAGAGCGCCGCCCAGAACAATACAGCCCCTGCATGGTGAGTAAAAAGCATTAATCTTCACCTTCCAGCACCTTCTGCAGACAACAAGCGAGTAGTGAGTCAGTGGGTAATCCAGACCTTCTGAGCTGCATTTTGATCTGATGTGTTTCTGAATGCAACAGCTTATAAAACATGTCTATGCAAACCGTAGTTAAATAAAATATCTAACTGATGATTGTTGTAAGATTGGAAATATAGTCATAATTGAAATTTTAAGAATTCCTAAAAGTAGATACATAAAGGTGGATACAAAGGGTAACAGTACAAAAGTATTTGCCCCAGCATTGTTGTGTTAACCAGTATGGATTAGGTTATTGTCTAGGCACTTGTATACACTGTATTTGAGGCTTTTTGTCCTCACCAACAGGACCTGTAATTAAGGTGCAGTGCATTGATTCTATGCATTGTGCATCACCTCTGTAATATTTCCATTTTGCAATGTGATTCAAATGCAAATGTTCATTTTTAACCCTGTCCCTTGTTCATTCAGGCGGCCGAGCGGGGTTCCTGAGAAGGACTTTTGCAGTTTTTTGATGCCATACTATAAAAAGCAGGAGGCCTACATGCGACTGGAGCTGAAAAAGATTCAAGCAGAGAATGCTGCCCTGGCACAGAAGGTTCTGGCAGGCAGAGAGAGCGTTTCTCAGACTGGACAACTTGTTTCTACCGCTTTGGATGAGTGGAAGGTGAGAGAGAAAGAGACAATATAGCTGTCCAGGATAATACTCAAAACCATAATCAAGATGTTTGTTTTTACACTCAAAAAGGGGATGCATGAGTAGGAAATGCTAAATTACTTACTCTAAAATGTATATTTAAATATAATATGTACATTTGTATAGATTAAACTATATATTTTCAACATAAGTATCATCAATTATATAAAAGCTGCATAATTGAAAAGTATTTATCAAGACGCATTAATGTATTGTAAATAGGACTGATGTGTTTTAAAATGATGTTGCAACTGCTCACAGATTAAATGTGCACTATGAAAAATGTAGGATTATAAAATGGAAGTTTGCTTTAAGTCTTCTATTCTCTCCCTTTTAGGCGACGGTCACAGAGTTTGAAAGGTTGACATCTTCTCTTGGCCCTGCTGATGTCTTCGATGTGTGATCATCTAATTCATTGACCTGCATATATCTTCTTTAAATTAGCTGTACATATATATTGTTTATTACTGTTTTCTGAAAATAAACTTAATATCGTCAAAACTAAAACCATTTGGTGAGCTCATTGATTATTCCCATGAGGGCCACCGTACATCAATCATTATGGTAACGTGCGTATTGTCGCCTGGTATTACGGTACTCGGGCCATGAAAAAATAATGCCACAAAGAAGTGAAGAGTCGAGTAGTTCTCTGGGTTGAACCACAGATGGATTTGTCGTGAACATCTCAACAAACAACAGACCACTTGCTTGTAGAAACGTGGTATAGATATGACGGAAATGTTTTCAACTCTGTTCGGGCAAAATGAAGCCCAGGGACCGCCCGGCTCTTCGTCTCTGGGTTTCGGACCGGGGAAACCTCCGCCGCCTCTGCCGCAAAACCAAGCCTCCATGACGGGGCAGATGCCACCGCAGCTCGGGGATGAAGGGCCTGCTCTGCGGAAGCCCGGAGCCATGAATGAACCGTTCTACTTACTGCGGGAGCTTCCTGGTACTGGCATACAGTTATATCTGTTTTATACTTTGTATTATGTTTGTCTGTTTTAGAACACATAGTTTAGCTGTCACAAAAGGTTGCCAAGCAGTGAGTAAACAATGCTAGCTAATGTTAGCCAACAAGAGTGAAACCTAAAATAGTGAGTTAGCTCTTTAACAGAACAGGTATTAGCCTAACTGTTTTAATAGGTATTCTTATTTTATGTCTTATGTTACACAAAAACATCCACTTGAGATTTCTACGCATTACTTTGCATCTGTGTTTAACGTAATATAAGTCATTATATATGTGGCTAGCCGAGGTTATACAAAGATCTTGTACTTGAGTAAAAGTAAAGGTAGAAGTGTGTCCTGCAATCAAAATGTTACTCAAGTAAAAGTACAAAAGTATTGTCATCAGAATATTCTTAAAGTACCAAAAGTAAAAGTATTCAATATGTAGATTGGCCCATTTCAGAATCATATATCATATGTTTTGATTATAATTATTGATGCATTAAAGTTGTATCAAAGATTATAAAGGTGCATCTAGTTTGAATGACTTACTGACTTTTAGGTAAAACTAAAGTTTGATTTAAGTGTTGTTAATATTTCACATAATTATTGCCTCTGAATTGTTATTGGGTAGAAATAAAAACTCAAGCAGAGTACCAAGCTCTCAAAAGTCATTACTTGAGTAAATGTATTTAGTGGATAGACCTAGCAATATGTTTTGCTGATACTTATTACGAAGAAAATGAATGACATATTTCATGATTTGTTGTTTTTGCTTAAATGACCGTGATATCAATCTGTGTGTTTAGTGGGAAACGAGTTAACGGGCAACACCAACCTCATCACACACTACAACCTAGAGCACGCATACAACAAATTCTGTGGAAAGAAAGTGAAGGAGAAGCTCAGCAACTTCCTGCCAGAGTTACCAGGTGGGTTATGGTCTGACTGTCAAGGGTTGATGATAAATGCTGCCCAAACCTTAAAGTAAATGATGTTCCATAAGTAGATGATAATTTAGGATCCATCATTGTTCTGATCTATAAACTCACCACATAAACAGGTGTAGAGAAAATTACATCAGCTTTCATGTTGCTCAAAGCCACCGATTATAATAATCGGTATTCCTATACAATCTACGCATGTCCTTCAACACACATTAATTACATACCTGTAATACTGTCCATCTATTGGACTTTTGCTAGTGATGTTTAGTTGTATTTGATGTTTTTGTTCATATGTATTAATTGCACATCTTGTCTTTGGCATGTTGAAAAAGAAATCTGGAAATCCTTTATACGTTACAACTTAGTTGCTCACGTTCCAAATGAAGGACAACCTTGCTCTTTCATTGCTTATATTTTGATGTTTCTCACATTTACTCCAACCTGTCCTTTTTCTCTTCTGCTCTGCAGGTATGATCGACTGTCCGGGCGCTCAGGAGGGCAGCTCGTTGCGCTCTCTGATTGATAAGCCTCCAGTGTGTGGGAACTCCTTCAGCCCGCTGACAGGCGCCCTGCTTACAGGCTTCAGACTACACACAGGACCGGTACTTACTGCATATATTAACAATATTATGGCAAAGTCTATTTAATTTGCAAACCCTGGCCTACAGGTTTCTTTAATCTCTTAATTATAGTGTTCAGATCATTCTTATATGCATCCATGTTTTTGTGTTTCTTTTCCCCAGCTACCAGAACAGTACAGATTGATGCACATACAGCCTCCAAAGAAGAAGAGCAAACACAAGCACAAACACCATCGACAGCAGGACCCATTACCACAAGGTATAACATCAATTATACATTTTTACACCAAGGCAAAGGAATGTTTTTCAGTCGACTAAGTTGCTTCTTTCTTGGCGTCGCAGAAACTCCATCAGACACCGATCCCAAGAAGAAGAAGAAGAAGAGGGACGACGATCCGGACCGCAAGAAAAAGAAGAAAGACAAGAAAAAGAAGAAGGTAAGAAAAATATATCAATTACCCAGGAACTATAAAGTTGACCCATAGGTTTTGTTGTGGGTCTTTATGTTTATGGACAGAGATATAGTGCCCTGACCCTAACCAAACCAAACCCATAATTAAACTTTATTTAAAAACGTATGTCAAATACCAAGTTTTTCAGCAAATACATTTTTAGGTATTTTCAGGTTTCAGGATGGTAAAAGAGCTAAAACATGTCGCTGGCAGACAACAGCATCTTATGGCTTTATAGAGGTATGCCTTACCTGTTCACAAACAGTTCCCAACACATCCAAAGCCTTAATCGGATATCTAACACCATATTATTGACTTTGTGATCCAAACATTTGCATTTGAGGTTTTTTATTTTACGTCCAGGTGCATAGTAGTCGCTGGGGAACGACAGTTCACATCCCCCTAATATATTAAATTGGACTGTCACAATGTCAGATTTTCACCACAAGATGAATATTTGGATAAAAGCATCTAACAAGTGACATGTGATGTAATTATTGCCCAAAACGTATTATTAAAGCAATATGTATGGATAGTTGGTCAGTTTAACTAATCTCTAATCTAAAGCTAATAAAAGTCTAATTTATTCCACTAAATATGGTATTAAACTGTAAACTCGATCCTGCTCTAATGTCAATTCCCACATCATCCAGAGACAGTGAACACAACAGCTGTGTGCTTGGCTCAGTCTTGTTTAAATAAGCATGTAAACAGTGTGTTGCTGCTCTCTGTCTCCCTCCAGAACCGCCACAGTCCCGACCACCCCGGCCTCGCTGGATCACAACCCAACAGCAACAGCCTCAGATAGACAAGAGCCCACTGTGTGCACGAGTGTGTGTGTGACTGTGCATTTTGTAAGAGGATGCGTGCGTGTGTTTTTCAGATAATTGTATTATTGGGAGTATGTTTAATGAGAGAGGGAATGATGTGTGGGTGAATGAAAGGAGCAGTGGTTTTGTGTGATGATGAAAGGCAACGTTACAGAACAGTGTCAAAGGCAGAAAGACGCTGATGTTATGGATGACTGAGCTGGCACTGTATGAATGTCCCTCTTTGATTTTGTTGCGATATCTTTTGACCATAATGCCAAAATCCAATAAACTTTGGTTATTATCTTTGCTTGTGCTTCCTTGTAGGGCATCTTGTGGGCGTTTAGATAATGTGATCAGGTGCATAGATACATGGTTTACTCTGCAACTGCAACAACAATCATTCAATGGAAAGCAAAACGATATGTTTACAATTATAATTTTATTTGTTTAACAAATGCAGAAGCTGGATATAGTTATGGAAGGAAAGAAGACACACTTTTACACTTCAACCCCCAAGGGGAAGGAAATAAGATACGCCACTTTATGTGTTGGTCTTAATACAGACAAGGCAAAGGATGTTTTGTTGTTGTCGTAGAGGATATCAGAGATGTTGACTAAACTTCAACCCAAGGATTCAGACAGCAAATTACTGTTGTCTGACAAATTATTTATTGACCTTTATGGAAGCTTGCAGAGGTACAGACAAGTCAGTAGTTGCTGGAATTGCTGGTTCATATGTTTCAAACATTACAAAATACTGTACGAGAGGAAAGTAATGACATAAGCCAAACTGGAGAACCTCACCAACTCTTATTGTAATGCACTCAACATATCAAGCTACTCATTGGCTTTGGTTCACCAAGAAAGGTGTTTGGCGGAGGCATTCATCTTACATTCAAATCTGTTGAAATAAAGGCAAGATAGGAGCAAAGGCACAGGGTTAAAACAAAACACAATCTCCTTCATGGCAAGTGAGCAGGAATTCAAAAAGCTAAAACGTTTTATGTACGAAAAAAAAATCAGGAAAGAAATTCATCAGACCAGAACGAAAAGCATCTAAAGCACACTTCACACTGAAAATAATAGTCAAAACATTTAAAATTGTACAATTGATTCAATAACTCTACACTTTACTGTTGCTGTGTTCAGATCAAACATGTATACAAACATTTGTTGTCACTTTGGGATAATATATATGTTCTGTTTTGATCTACTGCTGGCTGAAACAGTCCTTTTAATGTGACTTTGGGAATCCAAGCAGAACAATCCAATTTAAAAAGCATGTTAAACCAAAGCCATCGGTTGATATACTGCACACACCCATATATAGTAAAGCAAGCAGAATATGTGATAAAATACAAGGCACACCTCAGTTATATTTACAAAAAACTATTTGATGTTTGTTTACAAAAAAAGGCAAACGCAGAATACACAATCAATCATCTAAGCTTCATTTATGATAAGCCCACTACAAAATAACTGTTGATGAAACAAACGCTTCCCTTTTAAAGCTAATGCAGCTAGAGTAAACAAATACACTTAAATACATATTTTATACACACACTAGTTCATTTCTGTGCATAAAGCAGTACGAAGTGATCAAAAACATTAAACACTGTGTGCCAGAATTTTAAGTCAGTCATATTTTTCCTTTATATAAAAAAAACAAAAAAAAACATTTAAATATAAAAATGCAGAAATGCAAGGGCTGACTAAGCAATACCTCTGTGATGAATGCACAATAAGAAATGATGTACTTGGTTCATTTTTCATTTCAGGTATTTAACAATAATATGATTAATAGTTCCTAATGAGAACAAAACATTGATGAACAGACGAGGGGGTCGGTTGCAGAGAGACAGTACAACAAAATGAAACAGGAGGTAGATATGGTGTCTCTACAACCAGCCTATCTGTGTGTGTGTGTGTGTGTGTGTGTGTGTGTGTGTGTGTGTGTGTGTGTGTGTGTGTGTGTGTGTGTGTGTGTGTGTGTGTGTGTGTGTGTGTGTGTGTGTGTGTAAATAACTTGGGCTCTGAAATTACCTCAAATGCTTCTTTACATGTACCAGAATGTTCAAACGCTTTATATTTTCTTTGATACGTATATGATCTGTTTTACACATATATAAGTATGGTTTTTTTTTTAACCAGAGGGTGTACAGTAGAAACAGCACAATACACAAAAAGTTTGCTTCATTAGGCACACTTTTGAAACAATACTGAAGTAAAAAGTGCAACTTTCCAAGTATTTTCAAGCTGTTCTTTGGTTTTAGCGAGGATTGTAATGATTATCAGGCGATTTCTAAAACTATATAATAGAATTATAAAAGTACCATGATATCCGCAACCTAACACACAGTCTGTCAAAGGTTGTGTGCACATTTCTTTGTGTGTGGTAGATATTGAAATCTATGGCTTAAAATCACAGTAATTTGGCTATTCAACACTTATTTCCAAAATAAATAAATAAATGATGATGACACATCTACCGAAATCACAAGGAACTGAAAGACATAATGAAACATGAGGAATCCTATTTTCTCTGTGGTTTGGTTTGTAGTGAGCTAAATGTACACCAGCAGTGACCAAAACACAACTGGAACAACGAAATATACACTCACCGGCCACTATTTAAGTACACATTGCTAGTTCCTGGTTGGACCCCCTTTTGCCTTCAGAACTGCATACATTCTTTGTGGAATAGACTCCACAAGGTGCTGGAAACGTTCCTCAGAGATTTTGGTCCAGATTGACATGATAGCATCACGCAGTTGCGACAGATTGATCCGCTGCACATCCATGATGTGAATCTCTCGTTCCACCACAAAGGTGCTCTATAGCAGTGTTTCTCAAACTTTTTCATTCCAAGGACCACTTAACCAATATAAAAAACACTCGCGGACCACCTAACTCCACAAATATCAAAAAACACATCGTTTTTCTAGAACAGATTACAAATCGCCTGAAAATGCTACAAACAAGTGGCAACATGTGTGATGAAGGTGTTGCGCTGGGCTATATCATGCAACCAAAAGTTAAACATAACCTCGCTCCAGTGTGGAGATATTCCCGCGAGAGTGCGGAAAACTGAAATGTATTTATTTATTTCAAATGTGAAATGTTACCAATATACTCACGGACCACTAGGGGGCGCTCACGGACCACCAGTGGTCCGCGGACCACACTTTGAGAAGCACTGCTCTATAGGATTAAGATCTGGTGACTGTGGAGGCCATTTGAGTAAAGTGAACTCATTGTCATGTTCAAGAAACCAGTTGGAGATGATTTGATCTTTGTGAAATGGCGCGTTATCCTGCTAGAAATAGCCACTAGAAGATTAGCACACTGTGGTCATAAAGGGATGGACATGGTCAGAAACAATACTCAGGTAGGCTGTGGCGTTTAAACGATGCTCAATTCTATCATTTTTAACCAGTCTGGCCATTCTCCTCTGACCTCTGGCATTCTTCGAGAACTTATTCTTTTCTCTTTTTCTGAGCATTCTCTGTTAACCCTAGAGATGGTTGTGCGTGAAAATCCCAGTAGATCAGCAGTTTCTGAAATACTCCAAGACCAGCCTGTCTAGCACCAACAACCATGCCACAATCAAAGTCACTTAAATCACCTTTCCTCCCAATTCTGATGCTCTGTTTGAACTTCACCAGGTCATCTTGACCATGTCATGTATACATGCCTAAAAGCATTGAGTTGCTGCCGTTTAATTGGCTGAATAGATTTTTGCGTTAATGAGCAGGTGTACCAAATAAAGTGGCCAGTGAGTGTATATGGATGCGTAGATTACTGGTGCTCATTCTGAAGGCACCTATAAACCTACAAGGCCCTCTGTGCTCTGTGTGGCTGCTCTACGCCTCTGCAGCATGGAGCCCGTTAGTGTGAGGTTTGTATCCGTTGTTTTCATTCTCGTTGAGCGCCTGCATCTCCTGTCCGGCCGCCTTCTTGTCGTTGGCCTCCTTTTCCCTGATCAGCTGTCTGCGGTGGTAGTACAGATAACCCGGTAACAGGAAGCCAGCCAAGGAGAAGAGGATCAGGCCCAGGTTTATCTGATGGAAGAAAGTTACAGTTTCAGTCACAAAGTTCATTTATTTTGTAACTCGCTGCAAGTGTGTGGAGTTAGAGAAGAGTGTATGTCCTCACCCAGTAGGGGTCTCCTTTCAGTGGTCCGACCATGGCGATAAAGAGCGGCTGCTGCAGGAGAGCGAACAAAGCGCTGATCATGGATTGGAGGCCTGTCAGTGTGCCGAAGTGGTTGGATGGGTATCTGTGGGAGAGAATCAAGTGATTACCAAGAGTTTGAAGCACCTAATTAAATGAGCCCCAATTTACAAAAGAAAAGGTTAAGTGACAAAGACACTCCATTAAAGAAGTATACCTTTTGAATGCCTTACTCTGTCGACTAATTCCTAATTGTTGTCAAAAGAATATGTTTCAGTAGTGTGAATGTTTGACACATATAATGCAGCATGCCCTTTGTCAAGACATGTGGCTCAAATATCATTTAATAGAAATATCTTAAATTGTGAAGCCACTTAGAACTATTTCGTTCGGCGTGCACTTTGTGAAACATCACCCCCTAAGGTTTGTTTTTCAACTTCTTTTTAGCTGTGAATGTGTTTAACAGGGAGTTAGATGTAGTAGCTTGATGAATTAGCAGTGCTGCACTCACACAGCAGCATAAAGTCCTCCGCAGCAGGAGTGGATGAAGCCTCGGACCATCGTGTGGAGGATGAAGGTCAGGATCTGAGGTAGAGAAGGAGAAGAGAAGCAACACAATCAACGGGGACTGTTTATCTTTACTCTGTCTACCATAATGTGTGATTATGGCACTGGACCGCAGACACAGACTTTGTAGTGGTTTTGCCTTTTAGAGATAATCCTGTGTCTTTATAATAGTGTTCTGTACATGGACAGTAATGTGTGTCTTGATAGATGTTTGGTGGCTCACTTTTTGGTTCATTTGTGACTTTATGGTGCAGTTTGGTGTCTCTGTAGTAGTGTTAATTTCGTTGACTAAAACCATGACGAAATATGTTCGTCAACAACCTTTTTTTCCATGACTAAAACGAGACGATGACGAGACGGCACGGACAATAACTGTAACGAAATCAACATACAATATCGTTGACGAAAAGTGACGAGACGAAAATGTAGTTTTCTAAATAAAAACTATGCCAAAATCTCTCTTTACTTTCGTTGACGAAAAATGAGGAGACGAAATATTATCAAAGATAACGTTACATCTCTGATAGTCAGTTTTTCTCCCAGCAGTTCCATTTCCGGTGCTGCGGCTGGGCAGCAGCTGTGTGTGTCTGTGCTGTGCGCGGCGGTAGATTTGAATTACACTGGGCAGCGGCACACTGTGAACTGTCAGGATGTTTTGAGGTGTGTGTGCTACCTGTAGAGGCATGTTGTCGATGAGGCAGCAGATTCCGAAGGCGAGCAGCAGCAGGTTGGTTAAAAGGAAAGCCCTCATGGCGTTGGTCACTTTCTGGATCTTACGGTCTCTCGTGGGTAAACTGGTCTGCCTGATGGGGAACAGACAGAGAGGGGTTTTAACATTATTGTGATTCTCGAAGACACCATCCAATATTCATATTTATGTCTGTCATATCTAGAAACATCGAACATAATGTACCGTTGAGAATACTCAACACAACACTTTGTTAAAGGCTAAAGAATACAAACTAAAGAATAAGAGGTTGATTACCAAAGATGTCAATTTATTTCTCTTTTGAAAAGGGAATTCTCAATTGTTAGTCACCTTTGTGTTTTCTGTTGGTAATTATTAGTTTTATTTTATCTCAATAATGTACCTCTGCTCTGTGCCTGGAGGGACAGTCTTCTCATCGGTGCAATCCTTCATCCTCCAGTCCATGATGTATCCAATCAGAGGACATGTGAGCAGGCACAGCAGCTGCAGTGTGCCGAAGATGGACGAGTAGAAACTCACTGAAGAACAAGACATTCTATCAAATAAGAATAAAGAAAATAGAAGGATATGCCGGAGAAATTATACAAATTAAAGCCGTAGCATTCCATTACTAACCTTTCTTTTCTATCTCGAGCTTGTCAGATGCTGAAATGTAAAAATAAACACCACTCTGTCAGTAAATGTTTTTTTTTGTTCTTGATAACAATAAAATGGCTGGGAAAGTGCTTGGGGGTTCGAACTCACGAAACTCTTCACCGTGTGTGACCATGAACTCCAGCATCTTGTTCATCGCTCCCATGAAGAAGATGATCCTCAACTGGGACATCCCCATCGTCACCAGACTCCACAGGAAGATGGGCGAGAATACAGACCGGCGGAAGGGAGGAGACTCTGAGAGACGAGACGCAAGTACATTTATTTACATTTATATGCATATTAGAGATTACCTTTCTTATCAGAGTGTAAACGTTGTAAAACATTGAGTCTGTCAGTCTTTCAGAAAAGCAGTTTTATCATACAGTATAAATTGGTGGTTCCCATCTTAGGGGTCACATCCCGACGAGGGGAACAGCCTTCCATTCTTAGTGACCTCTTCTCAGATATATCTTTAGATCAAAGGTCAAAGGGTCTAATGATATATCAGAGGGATAACTAAATGATTACAATATAGACAGAAGTAACTTAAGAAACATTCTGTAAGGACTTTTATTATAAATGGCCATATGAGCCTCTAAAATATATTTTAAAGAAAATCTGAAGGGAAACAAGCACCTCATTTTACATCCATAATGTATATATATGGGCTGTCTTGACTCTGAACAGTCTTTTAATCCAGATGTAGTATGTTCTTTTGACAAGCAGAGGGCAAACAGCTGCTTTGTGTGAGCCGGGGAACCCAGACTCCGTGAACTGTTCCTGCCCCTGGCTTTGCACCCGGTCACACTTCTCTCTCTCCCCACGAAGCAGACTCATTAATGAAATATGTGTTTCCATGTCGTGAGGGAACAAGAAACAAAGCCATGACCCCGGTTGTGTCCTCAGTGACCCTGTCGCTCAAACACAGACTAAGCTACCGTCTTTCTTCTTGCATTTTCTTTGAGTTAGGATTAAAAATGTGGGAGCTGATCTACACCCAGTTTTGATGTGAAGGAGAAATCATGAGGACTTAGGACTTCTTTGATTGTACTTTTACTAGGCTATTATGCTGCTCGAAGGAACTGTGGGATGGCATTATCTTCTTACCTTTTGTAAAGGATTGTCAAGTAAATCTTATGTTATAGGGATTCAGAATGGAAACACTGAGGCAATATTTAAGTATTTGGAAAATTCAACCAGCTCTTATCTTAGCTACAAATGCGATATTTCCAGGTCATATTACTCACTAAAGAACCTTCATAAGTAAAACCACAAATTTGACCACAGATTGGCAGGCGCTGATATAAAAGCAGAGAGAATATTAGTTGTGTTTGTTGACTTACTGGGTGCAGAATCAAAGTCAGTTCCATTAGGGAGTTTCTCTGTGGAGTGTCGGATATCTCCATTTTTCTCGCTGAGTCTCTCTGTGACAATCTTCTGGTCAGATGAAGGCGTTTCTTGCAGTGTGAGGATCTTACTGTTATTATAAACACACAAACACACACACACATTGAGGTTGAAGTAAATGTCCGCTCTTCTGATGAACATGCTTGTGCCTTGGTATCTTCAAGAGATAAGGCGATCAACTGGCGTTCACACTCACCTGTAGTCTACCTCGTCGGGGGTTGGGAAGCCTTCAGTGGGCCAGTTGAGGAAACAGTTAAAGAAGACGAACCCTGCAAGGCCTGCCCAAACCCACATGATCACGTTGAAGGACACACCTGCATCGTAGATGAGCTGGTAAAAAGAGAGTGGAAGAGTTGTCAGATTGTTTAAGCATCTGGAATTTGCTTTGAGTTGTTTTTGTTATGTTTGCTTGTTAGGTAATGGGGATTAGTGTGAATGTAGCATTTACATGGTTAATTCACTGAAAAACACTTAAAGCAACATGTAGAGCTAAGGGGAGTGGCAGTCATGAGATTTTTATCTGTGGGTTCATCACTACAAAAGACCCTTTTCACTTCGACAAGTGTTAATGCTAATGTATTAATTTAAGCTGCTGTGAAATGTAAAGGCACAGAGATTTACATTGTTTTTGACTTCAAGGAAACATCTAAGAATGTCAGAACAAGAAGTAATACAAATAAATGTGATAATTTGTCTTTATATTGCAATAATGCTCTAAAATGTTATATATCCAAAAATGCTCTTCAATGTATTCTTAAGGGTCAATACAAGTGTCCATTTGTGTTGTACAAAGTGATCTTTAACATATGCTTTGTAATTTACCTTGACTCCAGGGAAGGTGACAGCAGAGGAGGCGTAGGAGCCGATCATCAGAGACAGGATGGTGGAGCTCAGAGAACCAAACATGTTGGGCAGCTGCAGGGGAAACATATGTTAGTTATTGATCAATCATATTCACCTACACCTCACAATAGGACATACAATACTTTGGCATGTAACATAGATGGGCTGACGCAGTATGTTAATTTGACCAGCAGAGGGCAGAAAGCTGCTTTGTGTGAGCAGGATGAAGCAGGCTAGAGTTCCTCTTGAAGGGTTCCTGCCTCTGGCGTTTGCACCTTGTCACACTTCTCTCGCCCCACAGAGCAGACTCATTAAAGAAATATTAGTTTCCATGTCGTGAGGGAACAAGAAATAAAACCATGACCCAGGTTTTGTCCTCACTGACCCTATAGTTCATGCAGACTAAGCTTTACTTAGACACATCGTCTTTATTCCTGCTTTTTCAACACATTCTTTGAGTTGGGATTAAACATTTGGAAGCCGATCTATAGGCAGCTATCAAAGAACTTCTGAGTGTTCGGCGGACCCAGCCAGGGGGCACGCATGACACACAGCAAAGGAAACAAGGTGGTGGGCACCAGGCACTAACACATCATATATTAGGTCGACCTATTTACAGTAGTAAGAAGCTTAACAATGTAACAATGACCTATTGTGCTGGCAGCCCACTCAGTGTCCTTTGATTGGAGTTGTAAAAGGGTCAATCACGATTATAACATCACATGTATGGGATTTTTGGTGCGCTGCATGACAAGCTCACTATTCTCTCTCAACACTGACCAGGGTTTTACAAACGTCTACTGACGTCACCTAATCTCCCCGCTGGGTCAGAGTTCATCCTGTAGTGTCAGTGTGCCTCATTTGTCCTCCCAGTCTGCCCTTTCCTCACTTATCACTTACTGACGCTGGACCACATGATGGCAAGTCAGAGTTGGGAAATTGGGAACGCTGTGACAAAAATACACTTTAAACTAATTTAATTAACTAAAACATGTGGAAAGAAGAATTCAGCTGCAGCATAATTCTGCAGCTTGCTGGTATGCATCCTGACACCAAGGTCACCAGGACACAAGTCTCTGGGGAGCCACAAACCATTAAAATAACTTACAATAAAGGCTTTCCAGGAATTGTATAACCCCTTAAGGATTTCTAGAGTTGTTCTGCCTCCTACTTCCAGTAAGATCTTAAGTGTTAAATGACGGTGAGAACTAATGTGTACTTTTCTTTGTAGAAGTGTTGGTGTGTGTTCCATGCTGTTGTTTGAAGATTAGGCTGTGGTGACTGTTTGTGGCTGGCAGACTAATATGTTCGTGTGTGTGTTTTTATCGCAGGCGGAAGAAAGATCGACTCTTAAGTCTGACACAAAGAGGTCTGCAGGTAAACAGGAAAAAAAGCTTTCCTGAGGATGTTCAAAAGCGAGCCCAACTGTCAGGGTGAGATGAGAAAAACATCCCGCTGAACACCCGTCCCTTTCAGCGCTTCTGAGAATCCAAATACTTCACGGTCTAACTGACCATGAGATGTAAAGCGCTGGACTCTCTGGCTGCGGAGGTTTGTTGAACGTAGCCGGGAGGAGCCTCTGAGCACACAGGACAGTATACATCTCTTACTAATGTTAAAGCAAAGATGTTCCGGCCATGTGATGTCAGATAACTGATGTTTGCTTTCAGAGGTGCAGTAGTGTGTCTTTGAGAAATCTGTATGTGAGGTGGAAAGTAAAGAAAAAGTGTGAAATGTGCGTCTGCACGTGTGTGTGCATGTGCCAGCAGCAGGCGGGACTCCCACCACTGGTGTTGGGGCAGTTTTCAATAAATACATTTTTCAAAAAGAGCCTTGCCGCACATGTTCTGCATGCTAATGCCAACGAGAGAAACACGTGACCTTTGTGGAGGCAACACTAGGGTCAACCGGAGTCAGGAAGTCACACACAACTGGAGATTTGGCCTTTCGCTTGTCACGACAAATCAGTTCAGGCTCTACTCCTGCTGTGCTCGCTCACTTGGGTGTTGTAAGACTTTGGCATCGAGTTTAATTAAGACTTTAATCGCTGAGAGAACAGGCCAAATGGTAGCTTAATGAGCAGTGAGATTTTGATATGGGGAATGGGAAGAGAAAGGGAACAGGAGAGAGGGAGAAAGAAGGAGAGCCGTGCATGAAAATAAGCAAGGATAGAAATAGCAAAAAAAAGAGGTAGTGGGAGAATTTTTTTTTAGATTTGACTGATCTCCCCAAGCTGCAGCTGCACCCCCTCTCTCTGTGGAGATCCCAGCAGGAAACACTCAACCACAGCTGATTAGCACATGCTTCTTCTCTCCACCTCAATCCTCTGCAGCCCTTTCACACTGTTCATGGATTCAAACCCTTATTCCTCACAGCGCTGGCGGAGTGTCCAGCTGCAATACACTTATATAACATAAAATATAATGGTCCAATGTAAAGATGGTGGTGGTTCAACTGCCCTGTCTGGAAACTTCAAACCACAACGTGGGACTCACGTTTGACTGGTTTCTTGCATTTGTCCCAAACTAACAAACCACATTCCCGGTAATGGGCTCCATTTGTCGAGTACATTTAAAAAGAGCCTCTCTTTCTAGCTTAGACCAAAGTTAGCATGCAGACGACTGACAGCCCTCGTAACAAGCAGTGAGAAATAGCTTAGAGCACTTTTCTCACTAGCATGTGATCAGACAGGCCCCAGTGCAGATGAAGGGTAACCCTAAATAAGTTACAGTAAGAGCAGGAAGACTGTCCACATTCCTTCATTGACAAAGGGAAATACACGATAAAAGATATACCATACATAGTTAACATGCCCATTAAGGGTAGTTAAGGGCTTTGTGTGACAAGGAAACCACAAGGGTGTGTTCGCACAGGTAAATGAGTCTAGCACAAGATTTGGACATATATCAAAGCTTTTTTTCAGAATTTCCAGTTAAGGAACGCCTTTTAAATTGCCATTTCCAGTAGATTGAAAATCACTGTGCCTGCATCACAGTCTCTGATCACTCTTTCAGTCAGAGCCTGTCAGTGTAAGAATTTACAATTATATGGACATTTAATAACAAGATGATAATTGCATCAAATGAACATTTATTAAAAAATTAACCCTCTATTATGTTGTTCTATTCAACATTTTTTTCCTCCATTCCTTCACAAAAGCACACAAAATAGTTTTTAAATCGTGTCACTAACTGAACTTCTGTATGATTTTAAAGAGGGATATTTGAGCTCTCTAGAAATGTTTCGTTTTTCCCCCTGTTCAGCTGAACTGCTGGTGTGTTATTCATTTAACATTTTCATCACTGCCTTATTTCAGTAAAACCCTTTGGCCTTTTTGCTGCAATTCATTTCAAAATATATATTTCTCTGCCAATTAGTTGCAACATAATTTGATATATTATTATTAGTACACACAAATTGAATGTGCACATAACACCAGTGCCCTGGGTAAGGAGGAGTTGACTACCTTGATCAAGGTCACACAAGCAGATTAATTCATTATCAACATTCAAAACTTTCATTTAAGCAAAAGCAATCATGATATGTGATTTCTGCCGGAATTGGAAAAAGATTATGATTGTTCAAATTGTATTGTTCTATATTGTAAAGTGCTACATGTAATTTTACCAAAACAGATATCATAGCATCTGAATCGGGAGGTTTGCCCTCATTAACTGACTTGGGAAAGTGTTGTCCTTATGCAGTAACAGAGATTATTGTGTTCTGAGCTATTTCTGTAAAGCATATGATTTTAATGATGAGGGTATGTGTGCCTACATCTCTCAGACTTTGAACCATGCCATCATTTGTTTCAGAGTAACAACAACAACAACAGTGTGGAGGTCAGTCAATGCTGGTACACCAAACCCAATTAGAGATACAGAGGTCGTACAGGGACACAGAGGAGGGAGGAGTTGGAAATTACTCAAGTGTGTGTGTGTGTGTGTGTGTTGGTGTGTGTGTCACATGGTGTGTTTGCCTATGAAAATGTACTGGTATCAATACAACCTTTGTAGAACTCTTACAAGCCAATTGTTGGTGGAAAAGGAACCACCTGGATAAATATATACAGAACATATGATCCACTTGGTAAAGCTATGAACTTAATTCCATCAACATGCCATTTTTCCATCCTTGACATTTATGTGAGATTGCACTAATAAACATGAATACATTGTTGAGTAAGCCCAAAAACATGTTTGTGAGGTCCCAGTGACCTTGACCTTTGAAGCCATCTTTTCTAAACAGATAATCCGTGAGTTTAAGTAAAGGTTTGCACCAAATCTAAAGAAATTCCCTCATTGTCTTCCTTAGCGATCATGTTTGAAGGGATGGGACGCACGGACAGACAGATGGACAACCCAACATAACGCCTCGGCAAATTATTTCGTTTAACAATGTTGTTGGGATTTCAATTCTCTCAAATAAAAAAACTAACATAACTTGTGACATGGTGCAAACAATTCCTTATATGTTTCTTTAGTTAAACAGCCCTCTCAGATTCACATTGAAAACCGTCTCAGTGAGATATATGGTAACAGTTGAAAGGAGCAGAATATTTATTTAAATGTATCCCCAGACTGAGAGCCTTGCTTTCTTTTCCACAGAGCGAGGCTACAGGGGCGAAAGTCACCGGCGAGGGTCATCTGTCTATACTCAGCTTCCTTATCTAAACATGTTTCATGTTCGTCTCCTGTATGTACATAACCATGCCACCACGTGTGTACACAGTCATGCAGAGTTGAAAAGGTTCTGCATTGATTTTCTGCTGACTGCTGTGCAGAACAGTGGAATATAAGAGAGTGGGAACATGGGAAAAAAGAACAAAGGAATAAGAGAGGGGTAACTGAGGAGACTACAGAAAGCATGTCCTTGAGTGTTTTGAATAGAGGTCCAGGGGCCGAGCTTTGGGGAGGGTGTGTTATCATTAACGGGCCGTTATTGGTGGAAACACAACTGGGAGTTTCCATTTGGGAGAGGTCGTGTGCTGCTCTGACTCTGGGACATGCACACACATCCCGGAATACCTGCCATGACACAGGAGGCGGCAGCAACAATAAAAACACTTGATAATGTTGGCACCAGCTGACACATCACACACAAACACACATGCCTGGCGTGAGTGTAAACAAACACAGCTCCCAGTCCAGCACACACTGTTTCCTCAGCTGACACAAATATAGGCTCCGACCACGCTGAGACTCTCAGCTACTAAAACTTTCCTGCTCATTTATTCCTGGAACACAAATTACTACTTTATCAGAATATGAGTTACGTAACTACAGCAAAAAAGAAAGAAAAAGGCTAATTATGGAACAAATTGTGATTTATATCCTTTAAAATAACCCTCTCACGGTGCTGACATCTGGAATTGTTTATATATTCTTGATCAAATAGACGTGCTTACATTTTCTCACACGCGCTGGTTTGTATGTTTAGCAACTCAAACATTGACAGATGGAGGAACAGAGAGATATGGACGTGTTTCCTTTTGGCTAAGAGTCTGGAATTATTATTACGTTTCAAGATTTAAACCCTGGAGCCAATTAAAGTAACTTTAACGACTGTCCGTGTTCTTTTGTGGCAGCTTTTCTTGGAAAGAAATAAGACACACTCACAACATTACTGAAATTAGTCAGGGACACATACAGTACATAGTGTAAAAGCAAGTGCAGCCTCTGAGTCTGAGACGACCTTGTAATGTTGTTTTCCTGAAATACAATCCATCCTAGAGGTTAATGTCATTTCCTTTTCTTTTTTTCCTCTCTATCTCATGTCTATCTTTCTTTACAACATCAGCAAAGGTCACAACAGCCGTCAAAATACAGGTATCCATGAGCAGGACCTCGTCTACCAAAACAATGTGAGCGAACACAGATGAGCGACTGTCTCTTCAAAAATACACAAGAAATATGTTTACTATCAAAACAAGATAGACACATTGATAGAAGCCAGTTTTTGATTGTTCTGTGAAAAAACAACAACACCGGATCTGTTTTAGCAACAACTAACAGTAGTTATAGTTAGAAAGGATTAGATTTGTACCACAGGTGAATACAAGTTAACTCTGTGCAGTGTACATATACAATACTCTAATGATGAATCTTGAGGATCTGAAAGAATTTGCTACTGATTATGTAATCCGCCTCATTTTAAAACATTGGTCTTATAAGTATCTACAATCTATTATTGTGTCTCACCGTGAGTGATGTGAAGGTCAGACAGATGCCTCCGAAGCCATTAAAGGAGAGCGCCAAGAAAATGAGCGCTGACAGGACTGCGTTAAAAAATAAAACAGAAACACGGAAGAGTTAAAATCAACTCTCTCAAAATAAAATCAGGACATGTCTTCAACCTCATCCACCGAAGTTTTTACGATCCTTTTATTGACTGCACTTGAAGATTAAGCAAGAAGTTTAAGTCACAATTAAGGTAAAAGTAAGTATTTTTTTCTTCTGCTATATTTTTGCCTGTTTATGTTATGTTTGTACACCCACCCTTCAAAGTCCATCTTTATAAACTACCTGGTGTAGTTATAGCACATTTAATAATAGCTTCAAGAAAAGACATGTGACACTACAGTATCAGTTTATATAGGAGTTAAATAAATAGGCTTCAGGGAGTAAATATAGCATTTTTCGGTAGCTCACGGGCACTATGGTGTGTATTTAATACCAGCTGAGTAACTTCGTTTTATAAAGTGTGTAGTGTGGTAAGAGGCGACTGTTGAACCTGATCCTGATTTCAATCACATCTGAAACTTAACTACCTGGTTTCCATTACAGCTGGATGCATCGGTTAGATCAAACAGTGAGATGGACATTTGAAGAAAGGAGTGTAAAGAAAGTGGACAAAAATTAAATATGGATTGTTTGGTCTATTTTTACATCTGTCCAATTACACCTGCTGTAAGTGCTCAATTGCCCTGTGTTGAAGTTTACTAATGGGTAACTTTGACCACACACAGATCACACTTTTTGACCTTTTGTGTCACTGCTGAGAAAATGTTTGTGGTAATGTATATGGAAATGTGATACCCTGTAAAATGCTCTTCTTCCTGTATGTTTTCAGTGCTTTATTTCTTATATTCTTATCACATTCCTGCTTGTCATTACACTGGTGAGATAATGTTGGATCAACTTGTACCTTACTCTTGGACTAATACATATGTTCTATATGTATGAATCGTTACACTGCTAAATATTATACTTATTTATACCTCACTATAATTTTTAAAATCTTATTTTATCTTTTTATTGCTGAGCAAACTCGTTCTCTTGTCCAACACATTTCATTGTATCATTTTTTTAAACGCTTAAAAATAAAGAAAAACTGAAAACTAAAACGGATTTGCTATAATGTATTTTTTGTATTGGACCAATGGAGATAAAAATGGCACCACTTATATCAGTGTTATTTGTTTTTTAATGTTTTTATTTAGGGCATGCTTCATGTAGCCCTTATTGTCTTAGCTGCGAGTGAGTTGTTTTATTTATTAATAATTTGTAAACGTGAAGATATTGCTCTTCAAGACAAGCAGCATGTAATCATGACCACGGATGGTGTGCTAAAAGCTGACACTCAACTTAAACTGAAAGATAACTGAAATAGATCTAAACATTTCTTACGTCACATTTTGCATCTGATTCATCGATATCCGGCACATGCATTTTTCACTGTATGTGTTTGTACTCACCCTGAGGATTGTAGACAGACCCGGCCATTATAACACAGGACAGGCCGAAACAGAAACTGTAACAAAAGTTAAAAAAAGAACATAATAAGCTCTTACATGGCACATCTTATTTGCATTAAGTTGCATTTAATTATTCTAAGTGTTTTTAGGAACAATGTAGGACGTATAAAAACTCCCAGAGGGCCGTGTTGGAAATACCACAGATTACTCCGCACTATCTGTGGGAGTAAGTGTCTTCAGTCATACAACTGCTACGCTATTTAGTGAAAGTATGATTCAAAATAGACACTGTTCAGTATGACAAAGAGATTGTAAAAGATGGACTGGAATACGCTTTACCATATTTCCATACATGGAAAACATTAAAAGTAGGATTCACAGAACAGCAGTTATTTTGTTAGTTATCTGCCAAAGACTAAACTGTCTGTGGTTAAACCGATAAACTTATCTTCTACCACGTTTCATCTGCTCTCAACTTATTATCAAAGCATATGGCTACTCAATTCCATTCATAGCTGCAGAGAATGAGTGAAGGAGAAAGTGAATGTGTGTTTACGCGTTTAACATTTTACAGTAAAACTTTGAAGATACCGAGGGCAAATTATTCGGAAAGTTTATGTAAGGTCAGACGTTTCCACACTCGACACACCCACACACCCACACACACACACACACCTAAATGTATTCATTCTCACACAACATTTTAGGAATGTGAGTCGTCAACTTTTTTCTCAGTCTATCATCTCAGTAGTAGTTGAGGAATTGACTCTCTTTCCAGATTTCAGTATCACAGAAATGTATAATGGAAATCGGAAATAGTCAAAAGGACACATTCAACACCTTTTCAATAAGCAATTGTGAAAAAACAGATTTAGGTTTTTTATAAATTATACTGAATATGAAACAACTATTTTACAATCATTACCTGCCCACCAGGCGAATTGGGCGTGGCCCAAACCTGTCCATCAGGATCCCGAGTGGCAGGGTGGTGGCACTGAGCAAGAAGGACCCAATAGTGAAGCCCAGATTCAGCATCTCTTCCTGGTCCACGCAGTGGGGCCACTCAACGTCACCTTCAGAAGAGTTACTCAAAGACACGACGAAGGACTCATTCACTGTGGGGGCGAGATAAGACAGAGGAAAGTTAGAATATGAACAGACCATGCGTTGGGTCTACAGACGGTGTAGAAGAAAGTAATCAGGTATCAGATTTGCTACCAAAAAATGTTTCCTCCAGACTTTTCTCTAACCTTTGCCCTTTGTTGGGTATTGGAAGAATTGTCCGTCTCATGTCTCTAAATAGCTACAACAGGTAGACATATGCAATCAGTGTCACAGAGTTTCCAAGTAACACTGCTTCCAAACTGAGGGATCACAAGCCATACAAGTTGGAAACCACTTTTGACATTAGCTTTAAATACTCATTATGTAGGGTCACAGAGACTATGAGTACAGTGTACATTGAAAACATATAAATAATAATTGCACATTTCCATTTAAAAACAAATTAAATACATGGAAAATAGCCTTTTTCTTTGCCACATTAGCTTGCCCATTTGATAAAGATATCAAAATATAGAAAAGCTAAGGCAACCTTTTATTGATTAACAAGATATAATGGCTACCTATAAACAAAAATATACTCCTTTGAGTTGCTCAAGTCATTCACTTATATTCAAATGTCCAGTATGTTATCTTAATAATAGTATTACTCATGTTTGAGGTCAACTAGACCCAAGTTAACAAAACTCTAAAAAAAACGTGCAGCATACAAATGACTATAAACACCATCACAGATATACAAAATATAACATTCCTCTGTAATTCTTCTGTAAATCAAAAAGTGTCACAGTGATTTAAGTATGACGAGTATGCTTTGGGAGCTGTTTAAGAGAAACACATCGAAGGTTAAGTGATGGACAGCTGCTGGTTTTACCTGAGCACAGGTGGGAGTAGAAGCCCTCTTGTTTCAGCATGATGAGCAGCGAGCCCCATCCCAGCAGCACGGCCGAACACAGCAGGTTCTCCAGCACCGCCGTCACCGCCATCCACCAGCGCCTCCTGTACGCCTGCAGGAGAGAGGGCGCCATCGCTGCTGCTCTGCGAGGAAACACACGTGAGAATTCATTTAATGTAGAACAAGCATTTTCCGATGTAAGGCCATTTTAGTGGGTAAATGATTGTCCAGCAACAAGTAAGTATATACAATGTACCACTTCCACATAGCGCAGCAGGCCCCTAGATTAGCTTTTATCCAAATACACAAAACTCAACAAGAAACTATTTAAAGGCAGCAATCTATCCATTTCTATTCAACTATTGTAAATAAAATCCATCACAACAATTCCGGAGCTCAAGTTTTTATTTTATTTAAAGGTCCCATGTCATGCTTTTCCGGTTATTATCCGTCCCATTGTGTGTTATGTAGCTTTTTCTGCATGTAAACGGTCTGCAAAGTCACAAACCCTCAAAGTACACCCTGTAGCGAGTAAAACTCTAACACAGAAAAGACCTGTCTATGCTGCCCCAGAACGCCTCGTTGGAGATTTTTCATTTTCCATTTTTTTCTTCCGGGAACCAAGTGACGTAACGACGACCCAATGGACCAATTGGTCCAAATGGACCAATCCGTGGAGCTCCTCACACACCAGGATCCCTTGGCGTCACTATCAAACGCAGTGGGGGGACCTTTAGTGTAAATGTTCAACTATCAGGGAGTCCCATTGAGCATAGAGCTTTTCTCAGCCGCAGCTGCGTGGATCTCCACTCACAGTACGCCACACACGTGCTCAGGCTGAGTTTCGCCGTGTCTCGCTGTCTCGCAGACCCCACGCAGCAACCAGGAAACGACACCAGGAAACGACACAGCTCACACTGTCGGCTCCTCGAGTCTCAAAGGGCGGAGCAGCGAGCCCCGCAACATCCCGCCAACACGGCCCCCAGACCCCACGCAGCATTCTCATCTGTTTGTCATTACTGGTGTCCTTTTCTGGTTGCTAACAAACGCCGTTGTAACACATAAACACACATCAGAGCACAGTGGGCTCATAGGGAGGGGGGGGCAGGAGCTCCAACAAGGCGTGTAGGACAGAGAGTGAATACACATACTATACAGAGATGCTGTATGAGAAAACCAATGGAACATTGAACAATGTAAATCTATTATAGTAGACCTCAACAATGGAGTTATGATCAGTAGAAATGGCCATGACATGGAACCTTTAATAAACATTCATAAAAAAATAAGAAAACTATGAAATGTAAACGTTTTGCTACTTTTGATTAACACATGCTTAGTTCTGCCTATTTTTTTGTTGATTGACTTATGGTTGAACCTCAAGAACAAACAGAACAGTAAACAAACAATATTGCCAACAAAATAAAAGGAAGCATTAGATCATTCATGAATAATAATCCTCTTTATGAGAAGTTGATACAACTCGAGTTTAAAAGGATCCATTTTGAGTAAGACACTCCACATATATGACAAAAACAAAGATTTACAAAACAGCATCTATTTACTCTCCATTGAAAATCTGACATAATTATTATGTTTACTTCACTGGGAAGACCTAATGAAGCCCCTTGAGACGGGACATTCTTCTCTCGGTTTGCCTAATGAGTGCCCATGTGACCAGTCATTGTTTTGTAAATTACATTACATTACATTACATTGCATTTAGCTGACGCTTTTGTCCAAAGCGACTTACAATAAGTACATTCAACCAGGAAGACACAACCTTGAAGAAAACAGAATCATATAAGTACATCAGGTTTCATAGAGCCAAACATTTCAAGTGCTACTCAACTGGCTTTAGGTAATCCAGTCCTTTATTAGTATAAAAGTGCTTCGTTAATAGTTCTAACGCTCGAAGTGGAGTCGAAAGAGATGAGTTTTCAGTTTGCGCCGGAAGATGTGCAAGCTATCTGCCGTCCTGATGTCAATGGGGAGCTCATTCCACCATCTTGGAGCCAGGACAGCAAACCCACGTGTTTTTGCCGATGGGAACTTGGGTCCCCCTCGCAGCGAGGGCGCAGCGAGTCGTTTGGCTGATGCAGAGCGTAGTGCACGCGCTGGGGTGTACGGTTTAACCATGTCCTGGATGTAGGAAGGGCCAGATCCATTCGCAGCATGGTAAGCAAGTACCAGTGTCTTGAAGTGGATTCTAGCAGTTACCGGAAGCCAGTGAAGGGAGCGGAGGAGCGGAGTGGTGTGGGAAAATTTAGGAAGGTTGAAGACCAGACAAGCCGCTGCATTCTGGATGAGCTGCAGAGGTCGGATGGCACATGCAGGTAGACCAGCCAGGAGGGAGTTGCAGTAGTCTAGGCGTGAGATGACGAGAGCCTGGACCAGAACCTGAGTCGCTTTCTGTGTCAGCTGGGGACGTATCTTCCTGATGTTGTAAAGCGTGTATCTGCAGCAACGGGTTGTAGCAGCGATGTTTGCAGTGAAGGACAGGTTGTTATCTAGGGTCACACCCAGATTCCTTGCAGTCTGAGTCGGGGAAACAACTGAGGTGCCGATGTTGATTGTTAGGTCAAGAGTGGGACAATCTTTTCCCGGGAGGTAGAGCAGCTCAGTCTTGTCAAGGTTGAGCTTGAGGTGGTGAGCAGACATCCACTGAGAGATGTCAGCTAGACAAGCAGAGATGCGTGCAACGACCTGGGTCTCTGAGCGGGGAAAGGACAGAATTAATTGGGTGTCATCAGCGTAGCAGTGGTAAGAAAAACCATGCGGGCTAATGACTGATCCGAGCGAGTTTGTGTACAGGGAGAAGAGGAGGGGACCAAGAACAGAGCCCTGAGGGACCCCTGTAGTTAATTGACAAGGGTCGGACTCAGACCCTCTCCAAGTCACCCTGTAGGTACGGTCTTTCAGGTATGAGGTGAGGAGGGAAAGAGCAGAGCCTGAAACTCCATGTTTTTGGAGAGTGCGAAGGAGGATCTGATGATTCACCGTGTCGAATGCAGCAGACAGGTCCAACAGGATGATGACAGAGGAGAGGGATGCAGTTTTGGCAGTGTGCAGTTCCTCCGTGACAGCAATGAGAGCAGTTTCTGTGGAGTGACCTGCCTTGAAACCAGACTGGTGCGGATCCAGAAGGTTGTTCTGATTGAGATAACAGGAGAGTTGTTTAAAGACAGCGCGTTCAAGTGATTTAGACAGGAACGGGAGGAGAGAGACAGGCCTGTAGTTTATAACATCAGACGGGTTGAGAGTGGGTTTCTTTAGGAGAGGGTTTACTCTTGCCTCCTTGAGACTGTTTGGAAAGTGACCAGAAGTTAGAGAAGTGTTGATGAAATGGGTGAGAAACGGTAGAATATCAGGAGCGATAGTCTGAAGGAGGTTTGAAGGGATAGGGTCCAGAGGACAGGTGGTAGGGCGGGCAGAGGTAATGAGGGTAAGAACCTCACTTGGAGAGAGAGGGGAAAAGGAGGTTAGTGTGTTGGTGGAAGGAGGGTCTGGTGACCCAGCGGTGAGTATAGGTGAGTCAGAAAAAGAAGAGCGAATATCATCAACCTTTTTTTCAAAGTGGGTAACAAAGTCGCTTGACAGAAGTGAGGAGGGGGGAGGGGCTTTTGGAGGGTCCAAGAGGGTGGAGAAGATGGAAAATAGTTTTTTAGGATTGGAATAGGAAGATTGGATCTTATCTTGAAAGAAAGTGCTTTTTGCCTGAGAGATCGAAGCAGAGAAAGAGGAGAGGAGAGCCTGATAGGTTAGGAGGTCGTCACGGTGTTTGGATTTCCACCATTTCCGCTCTGCTGCCCTAAGGACGGTTCTATTAGCACGCACCGCATCATTTAGCCAGGGAGCAGGAGGGGACTGACGAGCCTGCCGAGATGTGAGAGGACAGAGAGAGTCCAGAGAGGATGAGAGAGTAGAGAGGAGAGTTTCTGCAGCAGAGTTTGGTGGCAGGAGTTGGAACGAGTCAGAGGAAGGGAGGGCTGAGAGCACCGACGAGGCAAAGGTAGAGGGGGAGAGGGAGCGAAGGTTACGGCGGACAAGTGCAGGATGAGAAGAGATTAGTTTGTTATGTTTGGAAAGGGGTAGAGAGAATGAAATGAAGAAGTGATCAGATGTGTGGAGCGGGTTTACAGAGAGGTTAGAAGTAGCGCAGTTCCTTGAGAATATGAGATCAAGGACATTGCCAGCTTTATGAGTCGATGGGGACGGAGACAGTGAGAAAGCAAAGGCGGTTAACAGAGATGTTAGTTCGTCTATCTTCCCCGTCTGGAGGTTGAAGTCTCCGAGAAGTATAGCGGGAGGGCCAGTTTCAGGGATGTGTGAGAGGAGATTATCTAATTCCTCCAAGAAGTCCCCCAAGGCGCCTGGTGGACGGTAGAGAACAACAATGGTTAACTGTATAGGATGGGTTATTGTGACGGCATGGAATTCAAAGGTGGAAGGAGTGAAATTAGGTAGTTTTAAGAGGGAAAAGCTCCATTTGGGAGAGAGCAGGAGACCAGTGCCACCTCCTCTGCCAGTGGGTCTGGGTGTATGGGAGAAGGAATATGCAGTGGAGAGAGCTGCTGGGGTGGATGTGTTGGATGGAGTAATCCAGGTCTCAGTGAGAGCAAGGAAATCCAGAGACTGCAGGGAGGCGTAGCCAGAGATGAAGTCAGCCTTAGGAACAGCTGACTGGCAATTCCACAGGCCACCAGAAACTAGATGTTGGATCTCAGTGGAGCACGTGGGATAGACGAGAGCAGGCCGGTTATATCGATTAGGAGATACACGGGGCCAGTGATAATTGCGAGAAGACACATGAACAGGAATGGAGAAAATACACATGATTATAGCATGAGGGGCTAGAAAACTAAAGAAAAGAGAAATAAGACACCAGCTCAATCAGAGTAGGATTTGCCTCCTCTTTGCCTCCCTCGTGACTCCCGTAGGACTCCAATGTCTTTGTCAGTCTTACTCCCGCAGGACTCCAATGTCTTAGTCAGTCTTACTCCCGCAGGACTCCAATGTCTTAGTCAGTCTTACTCCCGCAGGACTCCAATGTCTTAGTCAGTCTTACTCCCGCAGGACTCCAATGTCTTAGTCAGTCTTCGGCTGTCTGACGCTGAAGCTGACGCTCCAGGAAAGAGCTACCCAAAATGGACGCCTGATTGCTCAGTTCTCACAGCTGTAGGGCCACGCCCCTCTAATTAGTTAACTATCTACAGCTGATGGGCGACAATAGACTGGCCCTGCCTATATTAATGCAGGCTTGAGTGCTGAGACCTGTGAAGCAGGTTTCGCCTGAGCAGATCTGAGATTTAAAATCTCTCAAACGCGATTTAGCCGTTTAAGCTACAATAACAATTATACAGAGTCGAATAAATGAAACAGAGAAGTCTAATTAAACAAGAATATAACTTACAGTGGTTGCTGCGTCAATAGGTAATGTCATCACCGGGTCCAGATGCACACTGAGTTCATCAGATTTTAAATGCGGTATTTAAATGCTTTTTAAGGTAAAAAATGACTGAGTCACGCGGTTCTACTTCACGCTATCAATAGACTGGCCCTGCCTATATTAATGCAGGCTTGAGTGCTGAGACCTGTGAAGCAGGTTTCGCCTAAGCAGATCTGAGATTTAAAATCTCTCAAACGCGATTTAGCCGTTTAAGCTACAATAACAATTATACAGAGTCAAATAAATGAAACCGAGAAGTCTAATTAAACAAGAATATAACTTACAGTGGTTGCTGCGTCAATAGGTAATGTCGTCACCGGGTCCAGATGCACATGGGAGGTAAAGTCAAACCACTGGATTTGCAGAGAGACGGGGGGAAGGGCTGCAAGTCAAGGCCTCAAAGAGGAAATACAAAGTAGTTACTAATGCTCTTTGGTGTGTGTGTGTGTGTGTGTGTGTGTGTGTGTGTGTGTGTGTGTGTGTGTGTGTGTGTGTGTGTGTGTGTGTGTGTGTGTGTGTGTGTGTGTGTGTGCGTGTGTGTGTGTGTGTGTGTGTGTGTGTGTGTGTGTGTGTGTGTGTGTGTGTGTGTGTGTGTGTGTGGGTGTGTGTGTGCGTGTGTGTGTGTGTGTGCTGTACGAAATAAGTCAGGAGGATCTAATGGGACAGATTTGTCTCTGCGTGTGTCTACCAGTCTATGTGCTCGCGCTTGCAAATCCCAGTTGGGTACCTGACACCTTGCACTGCATTGTCCTCAGAAATACCCCCACTGTGCTGTCAGCAGACCAGCTATTTCTCCCAGAGGAAACAATGCTGAGTGCTCAATGTGTCTGCTTTTGTTCTAGAAATAGGGATAGCATCTTGAAAGGACGACATTTCAATCTGAAAGTTGGATTCAAGGAGTCTTTAAACAGCATGTAACCACAGTTTAGTTTAGGGGATTAACTGCCTGGGATTAATGGGTAAAAGGTGAGTGGTGAGGCAGCTAATAGAAAAAATGACCGCAGTGATACTACAAACAAACAAACACACACACACACACACACACACACGTACATGTATACACATAAACACACAGGTCAGGTCATTGGTCACTGTAACTTTGGACTCGGGTGACCAAAACACAGAGTGAAGTCATGCCCACCACCCTGACAGGATCAGACTGTATAAATCAAATAACACACACACACAAACAAATAGAAACACACACACAAACAAATAGAAACACACACACAAACAAATAGAAACACACACACACACACACACACACACACAGTAACCAGCAATTCCATTTGGCGGGAACCAGAGAAGAGGTGGAGAGAAACAGTGGGAGGTAAAGTCAAACCACTAGATTTGCAGAGAGACGGGGGAAGGGCTGCAAGTCAAGGCCTCAAACAGGAAATACGAAGTAGTTACTAATGAGGGTGTCTCTTTGGTGTCTGTGTGTGTGTATCTGTATCTCTGTGTGTGTGTGTGTGTGTGTGTGTTGTACGTGTGTGTTGTACGAAAGAAGTCAGGAGGATCTAATGGGACAGATTTGTCTCTGCGTGTGTCTACCAGTCTATGTGCTCGCGCTTGTAATGTGATTATCTAAAGCACACTGAACTGCCCTTGTGCTGAAAACAGAGTTTGAAAAGGGGGGATTTTTGTGTAACTGACACCCAAGTCTGGAAACCCCTTTAGTACACACACAACTCCCCAACTCTCAATGAGGCGACAGAGCAAGGCGGCGCTCATTCAGTCCTGTGAATGCTTAATCCACAAATGAACCTGATCATTAAACCACAGGCTAACTTGTGGCCCATGGGTGTCTGAAATAAGGGCTAAGGCTATAGCCGATAAGGACAAGTAACGATTGTCTTCATGATGGATTCAAATGATCAAATAAATGTTTGGCCTATAATACATCAGAAAACCTTGACAAATGGCAGAATAAGTGACTATGAAAATTGTAAAAAAAAGTGAATTTATTCAATTAGCTTTTGAGATTGCTTTTTGAGCATTTCTTAAGAAAAGTGCAGGCGTGTAGTAATGTAAAGAAAGACATGACATGCAACAAAGGTCCCACGGCTGAAATCAAACGCTTGGAGGCCTGAAGCAGAAGATGCATCAGTCAGAAAACTGCAAGAAATTGATTGATTTTATGTTTTTTATCTGTTTTGTGTTTAGCTTTTTATCTTATTTATTGATGTGTGTCTTGTCTTTTTGTATGTGATATGGACCTTGAGTCTGAAATAAAGATTGAATATAGAAATATAGAGCATTAAAATGTCTGATGCTGCCATAAGATTCAAAAAGTGCACAGATTTGAGGGTGCGGATGCTCTTTCATCGGGTTGATAAACTGTCTTTTTTCTCTTTGAGTAAATGCAGCAGAACGGTTAGACAGACCAGGATTTCAAACATGAACAGACACAGTCTACTGAAGACCTAATTAGAGGCGACCGTCACATGGATTGGATTTGCTGTGCTGTGGCTGCAACACACAATAAATACACATAACATTCACACATATAGCACAGAGTCAACATATTAAATTCAACATGGAGCAATGGCTACTTGGTGTCACAACAACAGAGCATTGGTCTGCATGTAAGGTATCAGTTGCTCCTTGGTGTGTATTTCAGCTCATGTTTTATTCCCCACCTGGACTGATGTAGCCTACCATAGCCTCCTTTTCTATTATGGTTACCCAGATTCCTTCCTCTGTTTCCCGCCTATTCTCTGTGCTGCGTGTTACAGCAGCAGTCACTTAGAACCTTTCGCATTGTCATTATTGACCAAAAGGAGTGCCCTACAAACAACAAAGATATGCAAACAAGCTAATACGCTGGTTGGTAGGGAGTTGTGAGCTGTTGTCATATTGTGAAGCCTGCGTGTGTGTGTGTGTGTGTGTGTGTGTGTGTGTGTGTGTGTGTGTGTGTGTGTGTGTGTGTGTGTGTGTGTGTGTGTGTGTGTGTGTGTGTGTGTGTGTGTGTTGGAGAGCAGGTGATGTCTGCACTGTGCTAAAAACCATATAAGGATCCTGCTTCCTGAAATACCTGAAATACCTGAGCACCAGTAGCTGATGCAATGTTGCCATGAGTGACTCCACTGTCAGAGGAGAGTTTTTGTAGGCTATATGTAGAGTTTTTACAATAAAGGCTATGGTGGATAAGGACGATTTCTTTTTAACTTCTTCTGTATAGCAATTTGGCTTAAACATGATAGTCTTCAGTCATTACGTGAACTGCTTTCTTTCAAGTCTTTCTGTTAATGCCCCCATCCTGAGTTGCTCTTTTTTCCCTGCAGGGATGTTTCTGACCTTGACCAGTTGTGTTTATCAACCTCTGCCGGACATAAAGGACTGCAGGGCAAACTCTTTACTCTCACAAGTTTCCAAGAAAATAAACCACGCGCCCAGGGAGCCTCTGTTCCTCGTGGAGTCCAGCAACGAGGCTGCCCGGCCGGCGAGCAGCTGTCTCTCCGCGGGCATGACCTCAGCCCGGGCTCTGGTTACCGGGAGGACTGCTGAAAAGACCTGTCAGTGTCCCGGAGCAAGTCTGCTGCGGCGTTCACGTGTTGTCCTGTCCGAAACTTTGGAATTGTAATCACAACGCAACCCCCCCCCCCCCCCAAACAAAGTGGTGGATATAACTACGTGTTTCCAATTTCACCACACCTAGTGCAGGTGACAGTGAAAGAGGCATGGAATCAAATGGGATTGGAAGTAGTGCTGGGAACAAGAACGTCACGATGTCAATTTTTGTAAATTATCACAAAATATAGTTGCCACAAGGAAATATTGTGTCACAAAACACCTTTCAAATGTTTAGTTGTTTGTTGAAGTGATTCATTAAAATAAAATAAATTCAGTTTTGTATTTTATATATATATTTTTTATCTGACTTTAAGGGGCATCCATGTATCTAACTCAAACACTGCGATCACTGCTTCAGGTAATTACCGTTAAATTATACTGTAATGAAACATGTGTCTAATTAGCTACGTGCACTTTATAGGATTACACATGAGCAACCATGACAGCATTTGAGGTTTTCCACTCAATGAAAGGTAAACACAGAAACAGAAGTAATTTGGATGGTCACTTCCCGAAACATCTTCTGGTATGCTACTACTACTGCTAATTTCCTTATTCTAATGACACTTTCGCTTTCTGTGAATGCCCCAAAAGTTGAATCAGCCTCATCAGCTTTAATAGTCTATAGACTGTGTTGGCAAACAGAGTGTTTTATACTATCTAACGTGGGCTAAAAGTCTCAGTTTCATGCCACGTGTGAGTTACTGCTGCCGGTTCGTCATGCTGCCGCGTCACTCCCCGAAAACGCACACACACGTTACTACAGTTTATATGCCTTATATAGACACATTATTGACCAACAATGCCAACAAAGTGTAATAACTCATATGGGCTACTTACGTCAGTTGTGGGTCTTCTCAGAGGGAAAAAAGTAAAAGTGTTTGTTGCTCACTGAGAGGAGAAAATAAGGAAGACAAAGTGCTCTCAGATGAGTGTTGTTCTTGTAGGCAGTGAATTAAAGCGTTGCCTCTCTCTGCTTCCTTTTTTTGTGGAGGAGGATCCCTTGTAGTCTTTAAGAACCTCCACACTTCTTTCTCTAGTTTTACGCAGACTCCCCCTCTTCTCCGAATTTTAATTCCCTCCCTCTTTCAATGGGTGGAGTGGAGTCATTCACCACCTAATGGGACAGGACTGAAGTCGTTTTTACTCCAAATGTGAAACATGAAACAAATGATAGAAATAAAACATTTGCTATCTATTACAAAATTAACTTTAATATGTAATAATAACATTACTAAACAAGGAAGCAGTAGTAGAATAATAATTCCGATATTTTACTTACTGCCAAGTAAGTTAAAGTGTAAAATAGGTATTTTAGTCAAAATGAACTTTTTTGAATCTGAATTGGGGTGGAGTCTACATATTAAGTAACAAATAAAGGAAATAAGATTATAAAAAGTCATAGATAAAAAGCTTTGAAGCCAACATTGAAATCTGGCGATTTGCCATTGCATGAGGACCCTCAGATTTATGAGGGTTTTGCATGATATTTGGCATCCAAGATTCCCAATTCACAACACCCTGGTCCAGCTCATAAAATACATAATTGATAGAGGCTGTTGTTAATAAAGCACAACATATCTAGAAAATGATTTTCTGAAAAGTGAAGGTACAAAAAGAGAAGATCCAGCTTAACTTTCCGTATGAGTAAGACTTTCAAGCATGTAAGCATGTATGTGCAGCTCAGCTCTTGTAATTATGGTTCCCACACAAAAGCATTAGCCCTTTTCATTCACTCTCACTGTGCTCCCTCCACAAAGGGAAATCTGCTCCCTGCTGGGCTCTACAGGGAACTGTCCAGTTTTCCATGTCTAACATAGAGAACATTTGCCATAGTTGGCTCCTGACAGTCACACCTTTAAAGTTAGTCATGAAAAATGTGTTCCAGCTGCGGGGACAAATTTAGGAACTCTGGGCCCCAATTTCTTAATAAAATAATCCCTTTGGAATTTGTGTGAGCCCTCTCCAGCTGCGGACACCTGGAAATGTCCTCTTTGACCCCACCTGCAAACTGAAATGCAATCAGTCAGGTCAACTTACACTCAGGTTGATAATGTTGTTCTGCACATACCTCACAGCAGGGAAGTCGGGTAGAAATGTTTAGCTGAGCAATTTTAGAGTACAGAGTAGAGTGGACACGATGCAGAAAAAACCCTTGTGAAACTCTCATGTACAATTTTAGTTGGGACTGCCATCATGGATATAAAGTAGAGACAATAAACAAAACGGACTCAGGGTTATTACAAGTGTAAAACACTTGTAATAACCCTGAGTCCGTAGTGTTTATACTAGTGAAAAAGATTCAAAGCTAAATTATAAGATTATGAAGATTTTTACTTCATAATTGTTGCAGTTTTGGGATGTTACATTTCAACACCTTTTATACGTTACCATCTAATTATTCTGATGGATCCAAACTATCTTAAGCTCCATGGATCTATAGGTGCAACGGTTCATCAAGATATTGTCTTTATAGCATTCTTCCAGTGTGAAATGAATCTTTATGTTAATTTAGGGCTTAGAGTAGCAGACTGCGTGCTGAACTGACCGAAGTCTCAGCAGTGATGAAAGTTCTCTGCACACAGGATCCTCTGCTCTTATCCAAATGTGGTTTGTTAGGTTCCTGTGCACAAAGATGGTAACTCAAGAATCCATGCTTCAAAACATGACGTCAGTCCATTTCTAACTACAGTCTGTTCCGTCAGATAGTGCAGACCAGGGGCGTCGCCTGGACCTGGAAACATTCGGGGCTTAGCCCACAGTGGCGGCGCTAGTCAAATGTTCTACTGCAAGACTCCCCACACGCACATACACAATTGCGCCATCTGGTGTCACAAACGTGTGCCTGCATTAGCTTTGTTACGGCAATGGATTGTGGGAGATTCTCATAGCACGTGAGGATCTCTTGAGGGTAAGGTGCCTGTATTATCTCGGTGAACAAAATGTATGTTTTTATTTTCTAAGGACAATAACGTACTGTTGTGTTTGTGTAGTTTAATGTTAATTGTTTAATGCTCACAGTCACAGCAACATGTTTTTAGTGTGATTGGCTATTTGTTTTATATGATTTATCAACGTGATCATCAATAGCTAATCTGAGCACCAGAACCCAGCTCACGAGTCCTTTTATGCTGTCCATTGAAATGCAGGTATGTGAGTTTTGTACACCAGTTTATTTATGTTTAATGTTTCACATTGCTCCACATGATGCCTTGACTACAAAGTCTTCCATGTTTCTACGCTTCTTCCTCTGCGTCACAGTTTCGGGAATATCAAGATCATTGCACAGGGCCTTGGTCTTGTCATAGACCTCATGTGCTTTCTCGTTACTTTGGTAACTTTTCAGTGTGTTCTCAACTGCTGTTTTGTAATCTACTGCCTGCACCAAGTCAAGTGTTTCTTTCTGCAGGTATTTGTGCAGGCCCTGAGTGGTTGAGAGCAGTGTCTGGAACAGGACAGCATGTAGATGGTACTGCATTTTCAAAGCTTGCTTTCCAGTCCCTTTGCTAGAGGGGCTGAAAGGCTCCCTAAAGTCTTGATCAAAGCAGGGAGGTTTTTGACATGCCCAGCGAACAAGTTGTTTGACCTCTAGTTGTTTCTGAAATGTTTGCAATCTCTGATGGTGGACAAGAGATGTGGAGAAGAAAGAGTAGAGACACTCCAGGAGATCAACGCAGGTATGTGAGTTTTGTACACCAGTTTGTATAAGTTTAATGTTTCACATTGCTTGTGAAAAATATACTATAGCTATACGATCACTGATGTTTTGTTGTTGACTGGACACTTATTTTGTAAAAGAGATAGCATGAGAGGATCTCTTAAGCAATGCAGCTCACGTGTCCTTTTTATATGCTGTCCATTGAAATGCAGGAAAGTAATCACCAGCTCTGAGTGATCTGTTGACGAGGGGACACTACACCGGAGTTACATAAGCAGAGATAAAGTGCTATTTTGGGGGGAACTCACCTCCTCTGGGGTCCCCCAGGAAGACTTTTTTTAAATACTGAAGTTAAAAGCATCAATCTTGTGCACTTTGAGAGCAACATTAAGATATATGGATACATCTCTCAACACCCATATGTCAAAAGAAATCAAAGAATCAGAATCAGAAACGGGTTTATTATTTAAAAACACTTCATTTTCCAATTAAATCATAAACTATGTCAAATTATTAGAAGGTGTTAGTAATCAGATTAAACAGAAAAAAGGGATGGAAGGAGGACATAATAATCCCTCATCAATTGCTGTTTGCGGTTGAAATGATCTCTTTTGCTGGCCAAACATGCTGGATGGAAAGCAGTGGTGTCTCACTTGCCTTGGCCCTGTATCTGCAGTCCCTAAATCAGTCATGTTACTCATTGACTCTTGTCTGTTCTGGTGTTCCTGTTCATTGTTGTCTCCATTGTCGTTCTTGTCTGTTGTATCTCCTTCTTGTGCGTCCCTTTCTCCTGTTCTCCTTTCTTCATCCTCTACTCTGTTTGGCTCATCTGTGATGACTGTAGGTAAACACAAACAAGTACGTATCAGTTTCCAGCTCTGTCAAATAAATGAATTTCAAGATACACACATTTGTCTTCATTAAAATGAGTGTCACAAAATGTAATACTAACCAATTGAAAATAGTTAAATTTACATCTCTTGTAGATATCACTGTTATAGTAGTTATCTGCCAATAGGACAGAATCATTCCTATACAAATGCAGTTTGAGTAATTCACTTAATATATTTACTTAAAACTTTAATATAGTCATTTTCACTTAATACTCTAATATAGTCATCTTTCTGCATTCAACACTAAGGAAAGCTGTACAATTTGACATGATAATGAGGAAAAAAGGCCTCCGACAATGCAGATCATTTTTTGATCATATCAATTTTAAGATGCGGGTCAAGGCTTCATATTTGGGAGCATAGTGTCCCTTGCTCCCTTTCCCTTTGATCTGAAATATTTGTATAAAAAGCTTGTTAGCTGGCTGTCCATCTCATAATGTTCACATAGAAACTAGCTGTCAATAGGAAATATAAATCAGAAGAATTATATTTTCATGCAAAATCTGTCACAAAAAGAGGTTGCACATTTAAATGCAGGTGTTGTTATGGCAACGTCAGTGGCCAGACAGCCACATTTACTGCTGCAAATACGTTCAAACATGCTGTCGACACGTATAGCAGTGGCAACTATGCCACCATTTCAGCTGACTTTTCCTCAGAAATACTGTCACATAACATCCATATATATATTTCAGTGCTAGGTTGATGCTTAGCTAAGCTAACTATGAAACACTTTAACTGACAGGACTCAGGAATCAGGATCAACTGTGTACTACTGTAAGGTAGCTTCTAGCTTCATGTCGAACACAGACAGTAAGTCAACATTTCCCAGAGAGCTTTCTTTGAAATCACCAAGTAACGCTAAAAAACACAACATTTAGATTGTATGACAAAGTGTTTATTTAATATATCTGGCTAGCTATAGCTACTTGCTAACGGTTTAGCTTACCCGCGCGATTCAAAGTAACGTCAACGTAGCTATAATGTATGCTTTGCTTACATGTTCGCATAACTTGTAAGTTTACTGACAGGTACATACCTTGTTCATCTGGCTCAGGTGGTGGCTCTGGGGTTGTGTGAGCCACCACTTGAGAATTGCCGTCTTTTTTATTAAATAAATGTCTAATCTTCAGAATCTCCGCGTCCGGGGCTGACAGTTTAAAGTTTAAACATTGTCACAGAGGAGAGGTAGTACCTGTCAGCCAATAAAACACGTTTATTTCCATGCAACTCTCTGATTGGTCTGGTGGCGTCGTCTTGCCTCTGTGTTGCATTCACTGAACATGGGAAATTACATTCCTGCCTTCCGTCCTATAGGTAAAGTAGGTTAATGTATTATATTATTGAGGGAGAATTTGTCCGGGGCTAAAGAAAAAACATCCGGGGCTAAAGCCCCGGATGCCTACCCCAGGCGACGCCCCTGGTGCAGACAAGGCCTTACTGCTACAACAGATCATAGTAGCCTACATAT